CAGCAAGGCGAATCATTGGCTTGCCTTGACTTGACATGGCCAAGACACCACCATACTGGTACATACTACAGAGCAGCATCACCATGTTTGGTATGGAAGTCCACTGTGACCTAAATCCAAAGGACACATCCTTAACCTTTTGTACAATTGAATAAATGAATAAGAATTAGAAGTATGATCAAAACAGATGTACGAAAACTGAATCTTGAACACTTTGCCACTGTGGCCACTATTCCTACACGAACAAAGAAATTTGGTGACTCATTTCTTTGTCGTACTATTCGTAAGTGGAATTCTTTACCCGCGCAAGTGTTCCCTCCTTCCTATAACCTGGGGTCCTTTAAGAGAGGCGTGAATAAGTATTTTTGCAGGCCGGCAAGGTGAGGATGATTGGTGTAGCAGTTTATAACTGCTGTACCAGCTATCTTCGCGTTTGGACTTTATTACCACTTAACATCAGGTGGGGTAGAGTCATTTGCCAACCTTAATATAAAAAATAAAAAAATAAAAAAAAGGTGCTGCGTTCTTCCACGCTCGGTCAATAATGTTTGCTGTACAAGACGTGGTCCTAGGTGGAATACCGCACGTCTGGAAAAGCCCCGCCATGAAGGTACTTGCTCGATGATTTTGATAGACCAGGTGACCTGCGTCATTAACGATGTGCAGGTGACTAACCGCCTCGAAACGATGCGAATAAGTGGTTATGTCATCAAGCGCATTCTATCATTCATACAACGGCGAGTGTTCAAAGGAGTTATTATTTTCCTTTATCCCACTTTCGCCTTTCTTTTTGTAGTCATAAAACCCTGGCTTACGTAGCACCTGTTTACTGTGCTACAGTGACAAACCACCAAGACTTATTTATTGTAGTATTCCCCGCACATGTTGTTATTACCTTTTCATCTTCACCACTAATCAGGTTGGGCAGAATCACTAGCCAACTTAAGTGTATATAAGTGTAAAAAGAAAATTTCTTTAATTATTTTTATTGTTTTTTGTTTTAAACTTTCATGGTCATTAACATTATAGCTATCAGAGACTCATAAAAAACAAGGTACATGGTAACAATTCCGTTAATGGCTATAAAATTATTTTTATAGCACATAATGATGTCCAAACTATTGTAACGTGTTAAAACGTCACATGGGTGTTGTTTGGTTGAAGAGAGAGATAGAAGGCTTCTGTTTAGGTTGACTACCTCATCCTTCTTTATCATAGATCGTTTTTCGCTAGGCCATGCATTTTTTTATTTTATGTGGCTTAATTAGGCTTCTGGACTGATTCCTTTGCTTGCTTTTTGGAAGGAACAAAAAGGAAGAAAGTTTTAACGTCACTTCAGACGTAATTTGCGAGTGGCGCAATGTTACACTCATAATCTTGACTAAACTTTGAATGACATCTAAATGAATTGAAATTGTAATTATTATATTTGACATTTTATTAGCTATTTATAATTGAATTTAAATTGTATAACTAACCACAAAAATTTGACGATGGGTAGGCTTAAAACTCTGATTCATAATTAATAATTATATACAATGTAATAATAAGGTATGGAATAGATAACTTGTATTTGTATTTTAATCTTATTTAATAATAAGATAATCCTTATGATAATCAATAATTCTTAATGGTGTTTTCCTTTAAATATTTCGGTAATTTACAGATAGATTTTGTTTGAAATCTCATTTCAGCATATACACAATATGTATTTATCTACACATTTCCGTATGTTATGTCCTCTTGTATTTTGTTGGGAGGCCATGGACATTGTCTCTTAGCTAGTTAGTTATGCCTAATTTCTTAGTATTTTTCGACTATCCCATAACTGTCAATTTTAGAAGCAATCGATCTACAATAACTTTTTTATGTCTACATAATAAAGTAATTAGTTAGAACAATGCATCAGAACATAACTACTCACCCATGAAATGTTATCAGCTGGCCATTTGTAAGCCACATGAATGGGCTGTACACAATACCTGCTTATCAGTAAGTCTTTTCTTAATGCCAGCACATGCTTAGGTGTACAAATAGCTTTGTCATTCGAAAGAGGCATGTGATATTGTACTGCCTTCGAGAATATTGACATTTGTTTAGCACCAGAAGGGAAAAATAAATTTAATTAATGTGGAACTTGATAAAACAAGATTGAACTATACTTGGGGATTGAAAGAGCACATAACATCCTTTCTCACTGCCTGATACTCTCGACTTTGTATATGAATTTTACCACTTCATATAGCCACCCTCACACCATGCAAACAGGCAGGTTAATATTTTTCTGTCATCAGAAAGGTTACTTGAACCGTCCAGTAGATCCTATTCAAAAGACTGAAGATTTGGATGCCATCAGAAGATATGGCAGTTTGATGATATTTGTTGCCCTATACATTTTCCTGTTCCTGCATAAAGTGCTCAGGTATGGTGGGAGTACTTCACAAGGTGCGAGGTTGGCCCCTTTGTTTTTCTGCGGCACTTGAGTAAATCCAAAAATCACCGCTTGGGCTCCCCTACTAAAAAAATTATCTGTGCGTAAATTAAAACTTAAAAGTTGGCATATCATCAAAACATAATGTAGTAAAATTAACAGTTGTAAAGCCCCTGGTATATGACGTATGGACGATCTCCGTGGCCGAGTGGTTTGTATGCCGGGTTTTATGGTGTCGCCGACTTGAGAGGTCCCCGGTTCGAATCCCGGTGGGGGCAGATGTTTGTGTGATGAATACGAGCATTTGTACTCTAGTCATGGATGTTTAATATTTATTTCTATATAAATATACTTACATATGTACAGTATATGTTTTCTCTCCGTTACCCTAGCATCCCATAACACAAGCCTTACAGTGCTTACTTTGGGGCTAGGCTAATTTATGCGAGTGTTGGAAATATTTATTTATTTATTATTTATCAATTTCATTAGTCTCCCTTTGTTAAAAAATGGTTTTGTCTCAATGACTTCATGTTTATTTTTCCTCCAATAATTCAATTGTAGTTTAAAAAAATTTATCAGATTGTATTGTTTGATAAGCAAACAATAAGTCACTAACAAACAATGATTAGGATGATACAGATAAACACTACAGTATTATATGTATGCAATTTTGATTTATTTTTTTACATACCTAATCTCCAAGCCTCTAATAAGAAACAATATACATATTTTATATAATTACTTTTACAAGAAACTGTATGGGATGTCAAAATAGACTCAGAAATCAGAAATCAATATATCTTTATTCAAATTTGATGTATAGTACAACTCTTTTGAATCATCCAAAAATTTTTTTTCCCTACCATTCTTTATGGACATATTTTTTAGGTGCGGAGAAAAACGAGCGAAAAAAACTCCACAACATTAAAAGTCTAATGTAACAACATTAACAAATCATTATGTTGTTACAACGTCAATACAATTATGGTTTATTTAATTTAGAAAACCTGTTGGAATGATTGGAACAGTTCAAACCCAAGCATTTTTGTCTGTAATATAATCAGACACTTTGTAATAAGCTTTTTTAATAAGTGTTTTTTTTATAATATCTTTAAATTTATTTATGGCTAACTCTTGGATATTGCTTGGGACTTTATTGTATAGGCAAACACAAAGACCTTTAAATGAATTATGAATTTTGTGAAGCCGTAGCAGGTAAAGTAAGTTTATTTTTGTTTCTTGTATTAATTGTGTGAACATCACTGTTTTTAAGAAACAAATATTTATTTTATCTTACAAGTAATAAATTTTCATGTATGTATTGTGATGCAACCATCATTATTCCAAATTCTTTAAACTTCTCTTAATGATTCTTTAATTTTAAGTATAAATTGATTGAATAACTGTAACAAGTACAAAACAAACAGCATGTAATTCTAAATGAGGATTAAACAATTTATGATTTTTTAACCTTTAAATTGTTTTAATTTTTTTGGCATATTTGTAAGAGGCTAATCAAATAAGCATAATATTGAACAAGTAATAAAGATACAGTGTTAGTTATGGACTTAGAAACACTTGCAGCAATTAAAATGCCCATAAATTTTATGCCAATTATAAAATATGTTGTGGTACCTATTTATTTTTAGCACTTTTGACTAACTACAGTAGAACGCCGATTATCCGAACACCGATTAACCGAATCGCCAATTATCCGAATCGGTCCTAAGCGTAATATTAAAAAATTAAAACCTAGACATTTTTGTTTTGTTTTGTTCTAATAAGTTGGAACTCGCTAAAGTCCAGCGAGTATGTTAAATACCTAATATATTTATATCAACTGTTAATGGTTGAAAGCTAGAGGCAAGACACTACATGTTTTACTGTTCTTAATTTTGTTTTGCTACTACGTACCTCTATTATTGTATCTAGTATTGTAGAACTGTGTTTGTTAAACGTAATAAAGTTTATTCTATGTGTGGCAGTTCGTTTTTCTTTATTACTAGTCTATGTCCGATTATCCGTATTTTCGATTATCCGAATCGACCCCGGTCCCAATTAATTCGGATAATCGGCATCCTACTGTACTTTAATATACAGAGTCAATACATGTCAAGACAAAATATATTGTTTGTTTTACTTAGATAGTTTGCAATGATTAACAAATATTTTGTTATCTCAATATTTAAAAATATTTGTACCTAGAAATGGTATTGGAGATCATTAAAAAAACATTATTTACATAATACAGGGTTAAACTGTATCTCTTGGGCGCGGGAGTTAAGACTTCACAGACATGTTATTGTTTTTAAGCCTTATCATAACTTGGTTTCATAAAAGGAAGGAAAAGTAAGCGAGAATTCGCCAATTGACGCGAATGAATGGGGTTTAGTAGTCCATTGTCCCATATTAATCATGTAAACACAATCAAAAGTAAATATTGTATATACCGCGACCGTAAACTGCAACCTTGACAGCAAAACAAACATCCATCTGCGACGAGGAAACGTCACAACAACGCGAAGTAACCCTGAGGTTAGCCTTGCGGCGGCTACGGTCCGCTTACCTTGCCGAGCTTCTCGACGGGCACCATGGAAGGCGGGGGCTTCTCCACCTTCTCAGGGAGAGCCTGCAGCTCCCCACCTGAGCCCGATCGCGATGAACCGCGCTTAGAACCTCTCGGTGTGCTATTGCCACTTGCAACCTCTGCACCTTTGTTTTCATGGCTGTGATGACTCCCCATGTTCACTGCACTGCCACAATTATAGAGATAATTACGTAATTAATCACGCGCAAGACACACAACTGGAAAAGAACACTATATCATCCCAAAAGTAGGTAAGAATGTAAAAATACGTCAATCAACAGGCAGCCCGAAATGAAGGAAGCGACGAAATTAAATGAATGACATTGACAGCTGTCAAATGTAGAGATGCCCGATCTGAATCGGTCTTTTGGAACATCGATTTTCGGCAATAAATCCATCAGTTCAATAGCATGCGATTATTTCCCAGAGCAAATCGTATGCCCAGTAGATCGTATAAAAAATCTAATGAAATGATATTAAAAATGGTAGTTGACCAAATCCAAATGAGACGGTTCAAAGTGGTAGTCGGTGTCCGGCTGCGATAAAACATGTATTTGAAAGCTTATTTTGAAATTGACAATTGAACTATTTAGTAAGGTTTCTGGCAACCCAGTCAAAAGTCACGTCATGTAATGAAAGATGAACAGAATTATTATCCCTGCTTTAGTTACTTAAGAAATAGAATATATTTGATACTTTGGATTGGATACGTCAAAAAATAAACAATTAAACTTGCCATTTGCCAATCAATAAGTATATGATTTTGTATTTGTATATTTGTACAATAAGCGGGGACACAATAAATTCTACTTTTTTGACAAACGAATTACAATAATGTGCACTACATGCCATAAACATTTGGAGTCTGCTGGAGACTTACTACCATCCTCTATACAAATTCAAACAGTGTCCTTTAAGCTAAAAGGTTAAAAATATATCTTTGCAAACACTAGCCTTTCACCATATGAAAGACAGGATAAGATATATGTAATGCCAAATTACAACAAAATCATATTAACTACCGTTCTAATTAAAAAAAATGGGTGCGTGTACTTATGTAGGCGCGTGAGAAGTTATCCTTCTTTGGCATCGTTTAAAATTAGTTTTTAATTGCATGCAAATAATTAATTACAATAAATTAATAAAAAGTCTGGAAAAGGACACAGTCAATAAAGTTCAGTTTTAATTTGAAAAAATAAATAAATAATCAAAATATTCAATTAAAATCGCTACTGAATATAATTTATTAGAACATATGTGATTTGCACTTGTATGAAACTCAAACAGGTAATCCGAATATACAAACTAGAAACATGTGGATAAATATTATAAATATGAATACCTATAACTGTTACTTTATTACAAAAAATAAAGATGTGGTTTTTGGTTCTACTACACCAATGGTCAAGAGATGGCGCTGTAGTCTCCTGAATCGCGCTTTGGTTCCGTTGTTCCAGATTAATAAATACTTTTTGTTACTTTATTACAAAAAGTAAAGATGTGATTTTTGGTTCTACTACACCAATGGTCAAGAGATGGCGCTGTAGTCTCCTGAATCACGCTTTGGTTCCGTTGTTCCAGATTAATAAATACTTTTGATAGGCCTTCACAATGCAGTCATTAGCACCCACTAAATAGAGATTCTATTTCTATTTTGTTGGTAGATTTTCTTAATGTGCAGTAAACACAAAAGTAACAGCATGAAGTTAAAATTTTGTGTTACAGTGATGCGCGCGCATCTTAAAATTTCACTCTCATCACTTTTTCATAACGCGCCTAAAGAAGTATAACTTCAAAAATACATGAAATATTTTCGTACTCCAAGAATTATATAAAGATTAAATTGCCGATTTGTCACTATTTTGTCCAAGAACTGACAACAAAAAATTAAAAGCTAAAAACGTTTGCTACATTCACGCAATGTTCGTCCTCCTCGACGCTGGTTTTGTATTTTGAATCTAGTTTTCAGTTCTTTTCCAGCTTCATCACTGGTAGACGCAACCAATCCGTCATCAGCATAAAGTGCTATAAGGACTTTAGAGTTACCTTTCTTCCTTATGTATAAATAAGGATCAGCTTCGCTTTGTTCGAACTTGGCATAAATCAAAAATTTAGAAATGCAGCTGTTCCAGCACCTGGGTTCTTGCTTAAGGCCGTATAGGATGCGTTTCAGTAAACACACTATCTGAACCATCACTGCAGCCATCAGGTTGTTTAACGTATATTTCCTCATCAACTTCACCATTTAAAAAGGCAGTTGTTACGTCAAACTGTTGCAGTTTAAGGTTCTTATTAGCGGCCACACTAAGTAATGCTCGGACTGTGGCTAGTCTTACAACTGGACTAAATGTTTTGTCGTAGTCTATTCCAGCTTCTTGAGAGAAACCTTTGACAACAAGTCTGGTTTTATATCTCTCTACGGTGCCATCGGGATTCATTTTAACTTTGGGTAAATGAACTAATTCCCAAGTATTATTTTCATAGAGTGATATAATCTCAGAAAGCATAGCATCGAACCATTTATCTTTATCTTGACTTTGGAAAGAAAGCTACTTCCTTGTACGTATGTGGTTCTTTTTTTATTCGTTTACTGCGGACATAATATAATCTTCAAACCATCGAAGTGGTACATTCTTGGATCTGTCTCTGAGAGTTCTTCCAGTATCCTCGTTATTTATTCTTATTTCATTCTCTGTACAGGAAGAACTCTGTAGTGAGCCATTATTTTCTTGTTCAAATTTCATCTCCGTCATTATCTGTTCCTTCGTGTTCTGAGTTAAGGATTCTTGGAGCACTCATTTCAGAAGACATTACTTCATCATTATTTTTGTTATTAAATTCGATATCAACATATAACATTACTTAGTATCTTTATTGTCGTCTTCTTTTAGAATATTGGAAGGTGCAATACCGGATTTGTTGTAAAACATTCTATTAATGACCTTAACGTCCTTTGGTATCATTATTTTATGTTTAAATGGAACTCAAATTCTATAAGCTTTTAAAACATCAAAATATCCTGCAAACATGCCTGGAATTGCTTTGGAGGCGAATTTATTTCTGTTTGACTATCTTTTAAAAGGATCTTTAAGCTTTAGCCAGATATCATGCGCAGACTCACAATTGTTAATTTGTTTTATTTCGGAAGGTGAGATCAGTAAGATAAGCTCCGATTATGCTGAGATCTAATTCTTTTTGTTCGTGTTTCGAACTGTCAATAGGATTTCCTACATATTTCCATACCTTATTTTTGAAAAGTAGTGCTTTGGCTTGCAGACACCAAGTGTCGTAATTGTCTTTAGTCAATGCTTAAATTTTTGAAGTCATTTTATTTTCCTATTTACTCTGCTACCATATTAAAGTTTAAGAAATGATGTACAGCATAGATCGTTTTTAGTAATAATATATTTGACAATAACAATAACGGTTGCCTAGCAGTATAAATTTCTTAATAGTATTTACAGCTTTGGACAACTGTATTGTATACTCATACTTAACAGAAAAAAAAACTATATTCTGTCAAGATGGCAAAATTTTGTATTGATTTCATTTAAGTTATAAAAAAATATATTAGGTTTCCTTTTTATTATTTTTATGAAATTTCGTTACGCTTTTCCAGAATCGTATTAAGGCTGATTTAATGCTATACGATTCAGATAGAGTACGATTCATAGGATTGCGATCCATAACGATCCAAAAGATCGATTCAAGTTAGAGCATCCCTAGGCAAATGTAGTTTTAAATTCTAATAAAGTTAACTGCAAAGAAACTTACGCCATTCAGTCTGGTATTAACATAATAATAGCAAGTAGATGCTAGATCTAACGTTTTTTTTAATTTCGTAGGTATGCCATGCTTAGCAATGTGAGTTTAAGTCTGTTTCAAACGAATTTAAACCAAAGATAAACAAACACTTTACCTCTCAAACAAAGGAGGTAACTAAAGGTACTATAAGGTACTTCTTAAAAACTCGAGTCAAAAAGTAAGGATATTTTGGCAGATGGAATTTGTCTGTTTTCTATGGTTGAACAGTGCTGCATCAAAAATTTTATTCAAAAATATTTCAATTGACGTCAATAATCGAATATCGAATCGATTAAATAAAAGGATACGGGCTAAAAATCATCTCATTTGTATCAGTTTTCCAAATTATGCAAAATTCATTAATCTATACATATAATAAAGACCAATCATTTATCTATGGTCAAAGATTATTATTGGCGTATTATTGGTGAGTCAAACATTGATGTCGATTCTGGCATGATTCTCTAAAGCTAAACTTAAATTTGACAACAGTGCATCCCTGTCATTCTCTATACAGAATGAAAACGAGAGACTGATGTTAAATTTAGTTTTAAGTTTAGAGAATCACGCTAGAATTGGCACCATTGTGTTTTGTGTGTTTATGTACCAAAGGTTATTTATGGTTCTGGGATGTGATTGAATTAAACACTGCTTTTGTTTTTAATTATTCCTTTACTAAATATTTACAAACAGTTCATACTAACATCTATTTCTATATATAAACCCTACTTATTCCCCTTGATCACTTACGCCATAAATGAAAATGACAATACATCGGTCATCATCTCTTTTTTATAGAAATGAAAATTCACGCTTGACTTGGGGGATAAATTGGCGAATGCGATACGAGTTACGCGTTACGATTGGTGACACCGGTGACTCATCGGTAAACAATGAATAATACCCGTTACAAAATACATTAATCTAGTGCTTACTTACGTGTTTATTTGATGTTAATTACTATTGAAATAGGTTTTTAATTGATTACACGACGTAATTTATCAATAATAAGCAATAACAATTAAGTATGTTACTATTACTTCTACGCCATTGAAATCCTAAGTTGAAATCAGTCGTATGTTTTTTTTTCTATCAACAAATCTTCAGTTTAAGTTTGGATTTGAAATTGGAAAGTTTTACTTTTTTGTTTATCAATGAAAACATACAATAAATTTAAATATTTGTAGAAAATTAATATATGTGTATTTACGTACATACATAATATATATTGTACACACACACATATATATATATATATATATACATACATACAGATGGAACTAAAGTAGTTTCACTTTAGTCGTGTGGTCATAAGCACACTCGCTGAAGAAAGTTGCGCAGAAATTATAAATTTTAAGGAAACTTTACTCAAAACTGTACTCGATTGGCGGCGCTGCAGTCTCATTACAGGATTAAAAAAAAATTTTTTGCTGTGATGAATAACGTTTAGCGGGCGGACCTTCTAGTTATTTAAATAAAATTTCGCCCGAACTGATAAAAAACCATTCACATTTTAACGGCCCGAAGTGTCTTAAGTAAATATACCTATTATGTACACACAATAGGGTATTTGACAAGTTTTAGAAAACGATCTAACGTTATTGTCTAATGTTTATGGAGTCCGTAAAAAGTGAATATTCATCATTCTGTTGTGTATTTCAGTAAAAATAACCAAATCAAAAACTCCATTTTCAAATTACCGCGAAAACGTTTCTCTGGACAATATAAGTGTGATACTAGTGTGTGACGTCACACGACTGTTATTAAAACGTCAAACGATACAATGTAATGTCGCTTTAACCGGAAGTTTACTTGTGTGTGACGTCATTTTAGGCTCCGCCAATCCCAAGCGTTTTGGGTCACGTGACGCTAGATAAGAAAACTATTATCTTTTTCGTGGGTTTTTAGTAAAATTATGATTTTTTGTTTTGTATAAATAGTAAAAACCCCTGCCAATATTCATTCTAAACACAGATGCTAACATTTGGCACTTTATTTTTAATGCTGTCAAATACCCTATTATCAATTCGAAAGTGATTTATAAAAACTGGTGTCGATCCTGGCGTGATTCTCTAAACTTAAAACTAAATTTAACATCAGTCCTTCCCTTTCATTCTGTATAGAGAATGACAAAGATGCACTGTTGTCAAATTTAAGTTTAGCTTTAGAGAATCATGTCAGAATCGACACCACTGACATAATATATCATTTCATTAAGTATAATGATATCACGCAAGAAGCTTCTTTTAGCACGCGTTGTGTTTCTTATTGGAATTATGAGAAAAATACAAGTTTGTTTTCAAAGCCTAGGTGTTATGGCCTTAAGCCTAGGTGTCATGAACTTAATGCTAGGCGTCATGGACTTCTTTATTTTTATTTATTTATGGTACAGCGACAGAGTACAAATTAAAACTTACATATTATTATACAAAATTATTGTATTACATAAACTTGCACCCCATTAATGCTGAACACGACATTTGCTTAATTTTAGCTCACAAATTTGAAAAAATAATTATTATAATAATTAAATATGCAATTTCAATTAAAAAAAGAAATAATTAAATATGTATGTACTAATCAAGAATTATAATATTAATAAAAATCAATTTAATTACAATTGGCTCCTGCATTTTCGTAAGTAGGTGGAGTGGGAAAGGGCAAAGATATCCACGTCTTTGGCTATTTCATTAAGGACTTAAAGCCAGAGCGAAAGAAAAACAAAGACTGTGTTAAATGCTGCATTTCGAGTGTCGATAGCAAAACCCATCGCAGTGTTAAATATTTGTTGGCGTCGTTCATTTGTTGTTGGTGGTGGTCGAATGTCGCAGCAACAGCTTGGTGATGGTGCGCTGCAGGGGCTGTTCCACCAGCAGCGTCAGAGGGACTGCCAGTGCGTACGTGAATGCCGCTGTTGCCACGCCGTCCCACAGCTGGAAATGGAAACAGGAACTTAAATATATATTTATTTATTTTAAACTTTATTGACCAAAATACAATAGAATGGTACAAAATACGGACTTAATGCTAATAGCATTCTCTTCCAGTCAACCTTTGGGAAAAAATAAAAACGCGAACGGCGTTATAAAGCTAAATATTGAAATAATATTAAAAATATTTACGAATTAACATAGATACATATATAAATACATACTACGAAAGGAATACACAAACATACATACCACAATTATCTATACTTATAATAAATCTGTAGAGAGGTCAATTCTGTACATGAAATATATTTTCAAAATAACTATCAGGGGGTGATTAGTGATCGATACTGATGCCAAAAATGCATCATCATCATCATCATCATCAGCCGAAAGACGTCCACTGTTGGACATAGGCCTCCCCCATGGATTTCCACAACGATCGGTCCCATGCTGCCCGCATCCAGCGGCTTCCCGCGACCTTTACCAGATCGTCGGTCCACCTTGTGGGGGGCCTGCCAACACTGCGTTTCCCGGTACGCGGTCGCCACTCGAGGACCTTTCCGCCCCAGCGGCCATCGGTCCTGCGAGCAATGTGCCCTGCCCATTGCCACTTAAGGTTTGCAATTCTGTGGGCTATGTCGGTGACTTTAGTTCTCTTGCGTATCTCCTCATTTCTGATTCGATCACGCAGAGAAACTCCGAGCATAGCCCTCTCCATTGCCCTTTGGGTGACTTTGAGCCTTCTTACAAGACCCATTGTAAGCGGCCACGTCTCGGTTCCGTATGTCATCACTGGCAACACGCACGAATTGAAGACTTTCGTCTTGAGGCACTGCGGTAGATGTTCCGAGAAGATGCTACGTAGCTTCCCGAACGCTGCCCAGCCGAGTTGGATTCGTCGATTAACCTCTTTCTGGAAGTTGGACTTACCCAGTTGGACTATTTGTCCCAGGTATACGTACTGGTCAACAGCTTCCAGTGTAGAGCTCCCAACAGTCACTGGAGTGGGTACGACATTGGAATTCGACATGATTTTCGTCTTGTCCATGTTCATTTTGAGACCCACTTGTTGGGACACCCTACTGAGGTCGCCGAGCATTGTGCCAAGGTCATCCATGGTCTCAGCCATGACTACGATATCATCTGCAAATCGAAGGTGCGTCATGTACTCGCCGTTTATGTTGATGCCAAGTCCGCTCCAGTCCAAAAGTTTGAAAACGTCTTCCAGCGCAGCTGTAAACAGTTTCGGTGATATAACGTCACCCTGTCTTACACCACGCTGCAGCTGGATTGGCTTCGTGTTTTGGTCCTGGAGTCGAACTGACATAGTGGCGTTTTCATAAAACCCCCCCTAAAATGATAGTACATGATAAGAGGCCCCAAGTGCCCGGCGGTGCTGGAGTCCGTGGCGGCGCTGACGGACGCCGACTCGGCGCCGGGACCAGGGGTGCGAAGAATCCCCGGGCGGCAAAAATCCCCCGTCAAACGACCTTGGCCCTGGCAACGTACAACGCACGCACACTGCGGACCGAGGAGAAGCTGCTGGAACTGGAGGAAGAATTGAGCAGGATTCGCTGGAGTATTGTAGGACTATCAGAAGTCCGAAGAGAGGGCGAGGACACGATGGTCCTTAAATCCGGCAACCTGCTCTATTTCCGGGAGGGCGAAGATCTGTCCCAGGGTGGTGTCGGGTTTGTTGTCCACAAGTCTCTCGTGAACAATGTTGTACAGATCGGTAGTGTGTCGAATAGGGTGGCGTACCTTATACTCAGAATCACCAAACGGTATTCGTTGAAGGTCATACAGGTATACGCTCCGACCTCGACGCACCCCGACGAGGAAGTGGAAGTCATGTATGAGGATATTTCTCGGGCAATGCATGCTTCCAGGACCCATTACACCGTTGTCATGGGGGACTTCAACGCAAGGCTGGGCAAACGTGGCGATGATGAGTTGAAAGTGGGGCAATTTGGAGTTGGAATCCGGAACTTCCGAGGTCAAATGCTAGCCGATTACATGGAGAAGGAGGGACTCTTTATGATGAACTCCTTCTTCAGAAAACGGCTGCATCGAAAATGGACCTGGAAAAGTCCGGATGGCGTGACAAAAAATGAGATTGACTTCATCATGTCGACTAAGACTCGGATATTCAATGATGTCTCAGTGATCAATTCGTTCAATACGGGAAGCGATCACCGAATGGTAAGAGGCACATTGAATCTAAATGTCAAAGCCGAAAGGAATCGACTGATGAAGTCCACGCTCCGTCCTGAAGCCATCCGGATCCAAAACCCCGAGCGCTTTCAACTCGAACTGCAAAATCGCTTCGATTGCCTAGAGAGCTGCGTAGACGTGGACAATTATAATGACAGGTTTGTTGAAGCTGTCCTTACGGTGGGCTCGAAGTTCTGCAAGCCCATCCGTACCAAAAAACGCAGCAAGATCTCGGAGCCGACTCTCAAGCTCATGGAGAAAAGGCGTGAGATGGGTCTGCAGTCCTCTGAAGATGCACGTCGGCAGCTCAATAGGCAGATTTCGAAGTCTCTGACTCGCGACATACGCCGCTTTAATACTGATCGTATTAAAGAGGCCATCGAGCGGAACAAAGGCTCGAAAGTGTTCGCAAGAAATCTGTCTCCTGGACAGAGTTTGCTGACGAAGCTGAAGACAGAGGACGGCAGAATCATTTCGTCGCAACCTGAGCTTATGGCTGAGATCGAAAGCTTCTACGGACAGCTATACGCGACATCACGAGTACCTGTCACAAAGGCGACCGACCCAAGAGCCAAATTAACCCGACACTACACCGAAGATATCCCGGACGTCAGCCTGTACGAGATTAGTGTAGCTCTGAAACAGCTCAAAAACAATAAGGCGCCGGGTGATGACGGAGTTACAGCCGAGCTTCTGAAAGCAGGTGGACGACCAGTCTTGAAATCTCTTCAGAAGCTATTTAACTCTGTCATACTCGAGGGCAGAACGCCTAGCGCATGGCATAGGGGAGTGGTGGCGCTTTTCTTCAAGAAGGGAGACAGGGCCCAATTGAAGAATTACAGACCCATCACGCTCCTGAGTCATGTATACAAGCTGTTTTCGAGAGTCCTCACGAATCGTCTCGCGCGCAGGTTTGACGACTTCCAGCCTCCCGAACAAGCCGGATTCCGAAAAGGGTTTAGTACCGTAGACCACATCCATACGCTGCGGCAGGTTATACAGAAGACCGAAGAGTATAACCTGCCATTATGCTTGGCGTTTGTGGACTACGAGAAAGCCTTCGATTCGATCGAGACATGGGCCGTGCTTCGGTCACTCCAAAGGTGCCAAATAGACTATCGATACATCGAAGTGTTGCAGTCGTTGTATGAAAACGCCACTATGCCAAAAATGCAATCAGTAAAATTTTTGTCTGTCTGTCTATCTGTCTGTATGTATGTTCCTTATAGAAACAAAAACTACTCGACGGATTTTAACGAAACTTGGTACAATTATTCTTTATTCTCCTGGGCAGGTTAAAATATACTATTCATCACGCTACAATCAATAGGAGCAGAGTAGTGAAGGGAAATGTTGGGAAAACTGGAGAAGTTACTCCATTTTTTAAACTTCCGTCGCGTGTGCAGCCTTAATGGTTAAAGTTACATAGAAATCATGTATGACGGAAATATTCTACATAAAATTGTCTAAAAAATATCCCGCGACAGCATATGTCTATCTTTTATGGTTCACTCACAATAACACGTGTAATTATATAAATAAAGTCATTGTTTATAGCACAAGCCTGAGAACAAAAACTATAGTTTACACTACAGCTCTACACCGAAGCGAAGCGGGGGCGGGCCCCTAGTATTTAAATATATATATACACATAACTATACACACGATGATGACTAATAAAGTGACTCTTTATCTTAAATTTGGAGCAGATGAGTGCGAACATTCCTTTTAAATATAAGTTTATTTGGAGATCTTCTGATGGAGTCGGGTAGGTCATTCCACAGCCGTATTGCTTGAAGAGTAAAGGAGTTGGACATATAGCCTGAATGAGAAAGAGGGATAAAGCGAGCTAATGAATCGCAAGAGCGGAGAGGACGTTTGTGACTATCACAGAGATATTGGAACTTGCATTTCAAATACTCTGGAGAATGCGGATTGGAAATTATGAAAAAAAGTGCAGAGTTATAGTAATATAAGTTATTTACGGGATTGTTACCAATCCCGTAAATAACTTATATTACTATAATGTTAGTGACCATGAAAGTTTAAAACAATATAGAGTGCAGAGTAATCTTAACTGCCTGTTATATAATTTGTGCATACTTAGAAAATACTTTTGGTGTGGTGAATAACGTTTAGGAGTGTCCTGCGCTACAAGGGTAACCGGTCGTGGCGGGGGGCCGGTATAAGCCTCCGCTATCTGTCCCCCTAGTATGAGCACCGCGATATGATATATAGCACGTTTTTATAATGCTCAATTGTCAAATTAAGTACGATAAAAAAGGTGATATAATGTAAATTGTGGTGCTCATGCTACGGGGACTGAATATATCGTCTCTATGTCGTCATGTATGGGTAAATATAAAACGGTTAATACTTAGAAAATCTCCATCATCTTCTATACAAAATCTGAAGGTGTCGATACGTTACGGAGTTGGGAAAAATTCGTCCTTGGGCCTCAGGAAACATACTTAATTATATATATAAGGACTTGGCGACTTTCACTCTGAGTGTGTGTCATATGTCAAATGCATGTTGGTCTAGTCTCAATGCAGCAAATGGAATGCGACGTATTTTCTGATCGCTGGGGATCGTAACAGTGTTTGCGATTCTGGAAGTTAAGTAACTTTCACAGTGGCCGGACATAGGATAGGTGACTTAAAGTTTATCATCTCGAGTTCCTCCGTGCTTCGGAAGGCACGTCTTTTAAGCTGTTGGTCCCGGCTGCATCTGCCTGCAGTCGTTAGCTCTCCTCTCTTCATTAGGAGAGCGTGGTGGGTACAATCTCCCTATTTCATTTACGGGTAGGTAAGCCCCCCGTAGTGGGGATAGTAATAGGCCGGTGATGTGGATAACTTCTAGTGTGATTTCTTTCTTTAATATTTACACTAATTAGTCCGGCTCCAGAGTATGTTTATGTTTTGCCGTTGACATGAAGTCGGGAAGACCTACAGGAAGTGGATAACGTAGGACCGTTGTGATTGGGAATTCTTACAGAAGGCCTATGTCCAGCAGTGGATGTCTATTGGCTGATGATGGTGATGGCTAAGCGCTCGAATTATAATAATAATAATAAGATTTATTGACCAAAATAATCAGTACAGTAAGATTACGTAACAAACTTAGCACTAGTTATACAGAAAATATATTTTATTAGCCTCTGCTGCTGAACTAGGCAATGCCTGTATTTCAGCATTCAGCGCCATAAACCCCCACAGACATGAGAATACTAAACTAGACTAAATACATATCTCATGAAAAGATCAATAGGTAGCAATTCATTTTGAAAGCAAGGCATCTATGAGTATAATATTTAAATTAATATGTAATGTATAAAATGATTTGTGGCTGTATGTGTATGTGTGTGTGTGTGTTTGCGTGTGTATGTGTATTTGTGTGTGTATTTATGTATAAGTGTTTAAGTGTGGATGTATTTAGCAATTAGTATTTGTAGCATACGTGTATGTATCAGTTTGAATTATTCAAGTTAATATATTTATAAAATTTTCGGTTTCTTCATAACACATTGCTTGAAGCCACTTATAGATAACTCCTTTACATACTAACCTGGGTAATGGGTAAATATTCAACCGTTTATTAATTTGATTGTATAAATAGGGACCTAAAAATTTAAAAAACCTGTGACTGAATTGGAGCGTCCGTCTGGGGAAGTTACCTCCGTCTTACAGAAGACGGGTGTAAATACAGTAAAATAACACTACTTTTTAGTGGTGTTGTGTTGCCGTCGGTGAGTAACGTTAGGGCTAGAGGGTAGAGGATTACGTCAGAGCAGACCATTGTTCGCCACCCTTTTAATATAAAAAAACTAGCAAACCCCGCGAACTCCGTTTCGCCACCAGATGGCTTCGTTTTATGTAACATTTCGTTTGGTGATTAAAAGAAGTTTTTTTTTAATTTTTCCTGAATTTTCTTTGCTATAAACCTCACGGAGCCCGAGACCTTTCCAACGAATGCAAAACCGTGGAAATCGATTCGTGCGTTCTGGAGTTATAGCGTCAGGAAAGAAAACCCGACTTATTTTTATATTATAAAAAAATTGTGTGCACGGACCACACATATGAAATGGAACTTCTTTTCTTAAATAACCTAACATTAGGCGGTGCATAAGGCATAGGAGAATGGAGCAGTGCACCTTCGCTGAGTTACCCTCCATTTTCTCGCTCCACATTTTCATGCTCGTCGGGAAGAACTGCGCACGCATCCCACACACATAAATATATATATAGTCGTGTGACGTCCGTCACGCCTTTCCGTTCCATTTCATTTTTTCCATAGGATATTTCCATTTACACCCCGCCCAAAAAGAAGTTACACATCAAAAAATCTTCAGTGCAGCAGCAGCGCGCCCAGCGACACGCGCGACATCAACACCCAGCCGCGTGTAGTATAGGTACTCACGATGGCGAGGTGTCGGCCGGGCGGGCGGGGCGAGGCGGCGAGGGCGGAGACGGCGACGCTCCAGTGCAGCAGCAGCGCGCCCAGCGACACGCGCGACATCAACACCCAGCCGCGTGTAGTATAGGTACTCACGATGGCGAGGTGTCGGCCGGGCGGGCGGGGCGAGGCGGCGAGGGCGGAGACGGCGACGCTCCAGTGCAGCAGCAGCGCGCCCAGCGACACGCGCGACATCAACACCCAGCCGCGTGTAGTATAGGTACTCACGATGGCGAGGTGTCGGCCGGGCGGGCGGGGCGAGGCGGCGAGGGCGGAGACGGCGACGCTCCAGTGCAGCAGCAGCGCGCCCAGCGACACGCGCGACATCAACACCCAGCCGCGTGTAGTATAGGTACTCACGATGGCGAGGTGTCGGCCGGGCGGGCGGGGCGAGGCGGCGAGGGCGGAGACGGCGACGCTCCAGTGCAGCAGCAGCGCGCCCAGCGACACGCGCGACATCAACACCCAGCCGCGTGTAGTATAGGTACTCACGATGGCGAGGTGTCGGCCGGGCGGGCGGGGCGAGGCGGCGAGGGCGGAGACGGCGACGCTCCAGTGCAGCAGCAGCGCGCCCAGCGACACGCGCGACATCAACACCCAGCCGCGTGTAGTATAGGTACTCACGATGGCGAGGTGTCGGCCGGGCGGGCGGGGCGAGGCGGCGAGGGCGGAGACGGCGACGCTCCAGTGCAGCAGCAGCGCGCCCAGCGACAAGCGCGACATAAACACCCAGCCGCGCCACGACAGCACGCGCCGGGATACGCCTGACGAACAGACGGACAAATACCAGTGCCCTATTTCACCAAGTCCAAGTATGTAAGCTGACGAAATCATATTTTTCTTTTAACTCAAAAGCAGTGATATCGTAAAGGACACTTATTCTTTCTCTATAAATTCTCCCGTTTAAGAAATCATATTTCCAAGCTTTTGCCGAGAGCTATATTGTAACAACTAACAACGAAAACGCTACAATTGTAACGCAAATTTTACTCAGTCTCGATTTCATGTAACAATAATTTGACAAATATGCCGTCTTAAAAAATAAACTTCTTTCACTACACTTCAGAATTGCCGTTAAAGTAAGATTTGGACAATTGTACTAAAATGTTACGTATGTGACATAATATGTCGACTTAGTGTAATAGGGCCCTGTACTCAATTAATGTTCTAACTAATTAAATATTGATTACATTACTGAGAAGCTTGATGGCTTACAGCTTATTGAATTCGGTTTGTGGAGGTTAATTAACGGTTAGTTAAAGAATGGGTTACTAAAAACGAAATTATGTCGAGCCCGAAAGGTACGTTAAGCCTTTGCCTTTCCCGGCTGTATCTGCAATCAATAGCCACCCACCAATCCGCCGGTCTTTGTCCAATTCGTATTTCATGCATTTATTCATAGAGTGTGGTTTGTGTCTCAGCAGTGGAAACATTAATAGATGCTGATGAGTTGTTTTGCACACATCCCTCTTATCATCTTAAAAATATCCTGAAAATGATATAGGAAAAGAAAAACCTTTCTTTTCATCAGTTAATTAATGAGGAGTGCAAGTGTAATTACAAGTCGAATCGATGGTGCAAGTGGTTTTAGCGCGTTCGGCTGCGATAGTTGAAGATAAGCAACTTTGGCTGTTGTCGGTTATTGGATAGGTGATCAAAAATTTACTACCTTTCACTCCTCCGTGCTTCGGAAGGCACGTTAAGCCCTTGGTCACGGCTGCATTTGCAGTCGTTAACACCCAACAATGGGCTGGCGTGATGGGACATGGTCTGCACTCCCTATTCCATCCATAGGGGTGGGGACATTAATAGGGATGATGACTTAGATTAAAACAAAAAGGGTAGATACGTCACTAGCCTCACAAAAGTGATCCGCACCAATTGTGGTCGCTTAAGTCACAACTTGACATGCAAACGATGTACATGTGAACGCCAAAAAGAAATATTGCTAATATTTTGTGTTTATATGAAAAAAAAACACCCTTAAGTGTGTTGTTAAAAAGTGATCAATTTGCTCAAGAACTAAAAATAAAACCCACGGCATCACTTTTCATTCGTAAGTACTATAAAATATATTTTTTCATAAAAATTGTTGTTTGTTTTGAATCTTATTCGGTAGACGTCGAGTACTGGTCGCCTGATTGGTCGGTAATGCAGTGACGCGGATCTCGCCGTCTCGTTTTTGCTGCCGTTGAATCTTAACGTGCTGTTTCGTTCGGGTCGGTAATGCAGTGACGCGGATCTCGCCGTCTCGTTTGCGCTGCCGTTGAATCTTAACGTGCTGTTTCGTTCGGGTCGGTAATGCAGTGACGCGGATCGCGCCGTCCGTTTTTGTTCTTTGATCAGTTTTTGTTTGATGCAAGTATTAGCGTACCGTATCTACCCTTTTTGTTTTAATCTAAGGCTGATGATGATGAATTACTGGGTACGTGGTGGCAGTATCCCAGCAGCGCGAGCGCGGCCAGGGCGCATATGAGGGGCCGGTCCAGGGCCGCGTACAGGGCGCCCAGCGGGGACGCGCGCGCCCGCTGCAGCGCGGGGCCCGACCCCACCGCCAGCGCGCCGCCCCAAGCCAGCGCCGCCGCCAGCGGGAGGTACAAGCGGTGGAGGCATGTCAACACCTATGCAACGATAAAAACGAACATCGATCAGTAGTTGATAGGTCAAACAAATGACTCCACCCCACCTGATGTTAAGTGACGGTGAAGTCCAGACGCGAAGATAGATGATACAGCAGTTCTATCTGCAACACCAACCATCCTCACCCTGCCGGCCTGCATGTTGCTTCTTCACACCTCTTTTAAAGACTCCCAGGTTCTAAGAGGGAGGAGCGAGCAGAGCATTCCGTTTACGAATATACGGATAGTGCGACAAAGAAATGAGTCACCAAACTTCTTTGTACGCCTACCTATCTATATCTCTTCTGTGTTTTGGGCCGAAATGGCGCTGCCACCTGGAAATACTACAGAGCAATACAAATCTTGAGGCGCGTAGCCGAAATCGGAACTACTAATTTTACAAAAGTGAAAATAACCCATTTTACCAATATGTCATAAAAGTACCACAAGATCTTGGTTCAACCTTAACTGAAATATTAGGTCTTTGTGTTACGAGCTGAGCTCAGTGCAAAAACCACTGTTTAATTGTAAGCTAAGTATTGGTGAATAAATATATTATTGATTTTTCTTTTGATTATATAGCTATTAGTACATCGGCCCGGACTGCAGAAGGCGCGGTTTCGAATACAGCTTGATATCTGGACTGAGTGGCATTGATTCTAGTATCCTATAGGCATGATAGGCTAAAAATATATCATCTTCTATTTCACCGTACTTCGAAAATGTGTTTCTTCGAAAAAGTAATCTATATATATAAAACTCAAAGGTGACTGACTGACATAGTGATCTATCAACGCACAGCCCAAACCACTGGACAGATCGGGCTGAAATTTGGCATGCAGGTAGATGTTATGACGTAGGCATCCGCTAAGAAAGGATTTTGATCAATTCTACCCCCAAGAGGATAAAATAGGGAATGAAAGTTTGTATGAAACTTTGTCAATTTTAAACCGATCGGGCTGAGACTTTGTATGCAGGTATAAGAAGAATCATAGATGAATGTCATTGTGTATAATACAAGCCTGAGAACAAAAACTGTAGTCTACACTTCAGCTCTACACCAAAGCGAAGCGAGGGCGGGCCGCTATTTAAACGATAAAAGTTGGTCAATTTAAAACGTTTCGGTGTAGCTTAAATTTACGGTTGTCTAGCGATAAATCGCAGTACTTCAGGAAACATTATTATTACGCGTCGCCACAATTACTAACCTTATGTTCTGTGAATTGGAAGTCGATCTCCTGCAGGTGTGTGTGCAGGTGCGCCAGGAATACGCCCAGCAAGCTGGCCGGCAGCGCGCCCCACGGAGACATGTACAGGTTCGTGAACGAAGGCTCGCCGTGGAACATCGTTCGTAGGGTCCTACAACATGTACACGAATTATTTTAAAAGAGGTGGGCTTAGCGGATTTTCTGCTCGATGTAACCACCTTACAGAAGACAGATTACACCTTACAGAAGACCACAGTAAAATTATACTTAAGAAAATATAACTAGAAAAAATTCCACGCGGACCAGGCAGCAGATGGGACTCGAACCCTTCGCAATCCGGGCGAATGCACTGACCAATTATAACTATAATTGCTATTTCTTCTTTCAAATGTTTAATACTTGTAAAAGTATTCATTTGACATTGTGGGTTACCTATAATGCGAAGAGATGGCGCTGCCTTGCAGCTTAAGAATGGCTAGAAGAATTTCGACGCGGTCCGTGAGGGCCGCGGTAGCATAATTGGTCAGTGCATTCGCCCGGATTGCGAAGGGTGCGGGTTCGAGTCCCGTCTGCTGACTGGTCCGCGTGGAATTTTTTCTAGTTATATTTCCTTTAGATTTAAACATCAAGCAGTTACATGCTTTAAAATAATAAAAATTATAACTAAAATTATACTTGTTTTCAAGTTGTTGTGTTTCTGCTGATGAGTAGGGTTCAAGATAGGGGACGCAACGGCGCTAGTCAAATTTTTGGTATCACAAACGCCTATAAGTTATGGTCGCCGCTTACCATCAGGCACATAAAAACACGAATAAGTTAAGACCGAAAATATGATTGCTTCAATTTAACTGAAAGTTTGTTTCATCGTCATAATCATCAGCCTATTAATGTCCCCCACTGCTGGTTCACATGCCTTCCCTATAGATGGAATAGGGAGATTGGGCCATGACCCACCACGCGGGCCCAATGCGGTTTGGTGAATGCTAACGACTGCAGATACAGCCGGGACCAACGGCTTTACTTAACGTAAATTTTTGGTCACCCATCTATTGACCGATTATTGCGAAAATTGCTTAACTTCAATGATCGCAGACGAACGCGCTAACCACTTGCGCCATCGCGCTATCGAGATCCCCATGAGTTATTTTTACTTTTCTAAAATTATTAATTAGTTCCGATTTCGGCCACGCGCCTCAAGATCTTGGTTGCACTGTAGTATTTCCAGAAGGCAGCGCCATTTCGGCCGCAGAATACAGAGAGATATAGGTACGCGTACAAAGAAGTTTATGGGTTGGGTTTGGTAATGACTAGATCTTGTATATTTTTATACAAGTTATTCATCTAAAGAAGGCGACGTCCTAATTGGTAACGATCGCACGATAACCCGATGCGATCTCGTTGTGGGATGTCTTTCAAACATACAGTTTTCTACAGAAGTGTCCTAATTACAGCTCGTTAGTCGTCGCACGAGCACAGGCATTGTTTATTAACGATCATCATCATCAGACTTTTAATGCTGGTGCACAGGCCCAGTGCGGATGGGTGCCAACGACTGCATGTACAATGAGGGCCAACGGCTTAACGTGACTTCCGAGGCACGGAGAAGCCCAAGACAATACATTTTTGGTCACTCATCCAATGACCGACCACCGCGAAAGTTGCTAAACTTCAACGCTCACAAGCGAACGCGCTAACCACTTGCGCCATCGAGCTCCACAAATAATAACGATCGTACTATAAGTTTAATCGCTGGATTGTTTAATAAAATACACCGATCTCTATTAAGTGTCCTAATTGGCCGCTCGTCATTGCACGAGATCAGCAACCCGTGGGCCTCGGGACGATCGGAGCAAGAGGCAACACTGGTTAAAAGTTGAATAAGGTTTTAGGATCACATCACGTACTCTAGGGTTGCAGGGGTACAATTGGGCCATCTAGGGGACCGACGCAGCTACGATTTTTTGAAGTTATACTTCTTTAGGCGCGTTATGAAAAAATGATGAGAGTGAAATTTTAAGATGCGCGCGCATCACTGTAACACAAAAAAATAATATTAAAATCGCTAAAGCGACCAACTTCATGCTGTTACTTTTGTGTTTACCGCACATTAAGAAAATCTACCAACAAAATAGAAATGGAATCTCTATTTTGTGGGTGCTAACGACTGCATTGTGAAGGCCTATCAAAAGTATTTATTAATCTGGAACAACGGAACCAAAGCGCGATTCAGGAGACTACAGCGCCATCTCTTGACCATTGGTGTAGTAGAACCAAAAACCACATCTTTATTTTTTGTAATAAAGTAACAAAAAGTATTTATTAATCTGGAACAACGGAACCAAAGCGCGATTCAGGAGACTACAGCGCCATCTCTTGACCATTGGTGTAGTAGAACCAAAAACCACATCTTTATTTTTTGTAATAAAGTAACAGTTATAGGTATTCATATTTATAATATTTATCCACATGTTTCTAGTTTGTATATTCGGAATACGTGTTTGAGTTTCATACAAGTGCAAATCACATATGTACTAATAAATTATATTCAGTAGCGATTTTAATTGAATATTTTGATTATTTATTTATTTTTTCAAATTAAAACTGAACTTTATTGACTGTGTCCTTTTCCAGACTTTTTATTAATTTATTGTAATTAATTATTTGCGTGCAATTAAAAACTAATTTTAAACGATGCCAAAGAAGGATAACTTCTCACGCGCCTACATAAGTACACGCACCCATTTTTTAAAATGGCAACTTATCGCTTGTTGGGTGACAGCATTGCACGATCTATAAAAACGCCCCTCTGCAATCATCGTACGATTATTTGATCGCAGATCGCATCGTGTCATTGTACGATTGTGGCCAATAAGAATGACGCCTAAGGATGACACCTCAAGATCTAACAATCCAAAATTAAGACCATTACCCTCACCTTGTCATTCTTATTAATAACAATGAGTACACACTTAAAGCGTTAACCCGAATATTTGCAGCATTGCGATGAATGAAGCCAAATCCTCGGAAAAACTGGGTAGCTTTAAGTTACATTAGGTGTTGCTATGGTGTTTTAAAAGGTACTTGGCAGTCAAGTAGATGGCCCGCTATATGGTAGCTGATCAACATATTCTATATACGTGTACGGTACTAGAATATCTTGCAAGTTGACCTGACCTTATCTCCTACCATGTACGTATAGGTACTCACGGCTAAAAATCAAATACCATCTATAGCTCTGTTATTTCACTATGGTCCTCTGTGAGGTTTACATCCCCAGACAGACGCACTAATTAAAAAACCTGCTATTATTTACTTCTGTTTGACGACAAACATCTAATAATACCCCAATTCTTCATTTACAGAGGATGAACTGTATTTTAATTTTGTTCTACCAAGTTCCTTATCATTTTTCGTACTCACTCTGGAGTCATGACCAACAGCATGCTCTTCCACTGGAACACGTAAGCAAGCACTGCGTTCAGGCAGCAGGAGGCTACGAACAGCACGCTCAGTATTGTCAGGTTGCGCCGCCGCGAACCAGAAGCGAGCGCCAGCGTTAATGCGCACGATACTATGTACAGCTGCATGTCCACCGCTACGAACCTGATAGAAAATCTCTTATCTATTAGACAAGTCCGTCCGTCCGTCTGTCTGTCTGTGGTGCTGTTTCAGCGGCCAAACCGTAAGAGATAGATAAAGAGAATGTTTAAGTTATAAGTTAAGAATAGTCTGATAAGACTACAAACCGGATTTGAGTAACGTAGCACTTCCGGTTTTCGAGAAATCACTAATTTCAAACGAAACCACACAAAATCTCCGAAATTCTCAATTAATTAAATACATTTTTTTTTAATCAGGTTTTGGTGAACATTTGGTTCACTGGTTTGCTAGTAGTGTTTAATCTGTTGAAACAAAGTTGGAAACCAGCAAGGGTAACAGTTCATAATTTTTTTTGTTGCATTCCTAGTTACCATGATGTCTATTTGTAAAATTTCGGTGGGACTATTACTATAAAAGTCAGAATTGGTCGGACTTCCATGAGATTAACATCATTAGGTACAACTTTGAAATTATTCCGCTGGACAAATTAATTTGACTACTTAGTTTGACCAAGCGGACGATGTGGTTGAGGCTAGATAGTGTTTCTACTATACCGACTGTTCAGTTCTTGCCTAATATTAAAAGGGTGAGTTAAGATTGATTCACCAATTTTGGCCGCGTATCGCCGTTTTGTGCCCTCTCCCGCGGTGGGCAACGGGAGGCACTCACCAGGTCTGCACGAGGCAGTGCGCCCCGTTGCCCCCCGCGGGCAGCAGGTTGTGCAGCATGAGCGCGCGCGGCCCCCAGGGCCCCCGGCGGCACGCGCCCCCTCCCTGCGCCGGGGCCACTCACCAGGTCTGCACGAGGCAGTGCCCCCCGTTGCCCCCCGCGGGCAGCAGGTTGTGCAGCATGAGCGCGCGCGGCCCCCAGGGCCCCCGGCGGCACGCGCCCCCTCCCTGCGCCGGGGCCACTCACCAGGTCTGCACGAGGCAGTGCCCCCCGTTGCCCCCCGCGGGCAGCAGGTTGTGCAGCATGAGCGCGCGCGGCCCCCAGGGCCCCCGGCGGCACGCGCCCCCTCCCTGCGCCGGGGCCACTCACCAGGTCTGCACGAGGCAGTGCCCCCCGTTGCCCCCCGCGGGCAGCAGGTTGTGCAGCATGAGCGCGCGCGGCCCCCAGGGCCCCCGGCGGCACGCGCCCCCTCCCTGCGCCGGGGCCACTCACCAGGTCTGCACGAGGCAGTGCCCCCCGTTGCCCCCCGCGGGCAGCAGGTTGTGCAGCATGAGCGCGCGCGGCCCCCAGGGCCCCCGGCGGCACGCGCCCCCTCCCTGCGCCGGGGCCACTCACCAGGTCTGCACGAGGCAGTGCCCCCCGTTGCCCCCCGCGGGCAGCAGGTTGTGCAGCATGAGCGCGCGCGGCCCCCAGGGCCCCCGGCGGCACGCGCCCCCTCCCTGCGCCGGGGCCACTCACCAGGTCTGCACGAGGCAGTGCCCCCCGTTGCCCCCCGCGGGCAGCAGGTTGTGCAGCATGAGCGCGCGCGGCCCCCAGGGCCCCCGGCGGCACGCGCCCCCTCCCTGCGCCGGGGCCACTCACCAGGTCTGCACGAGGCAGTGCCCCCCGTTGCCCCCCGCGGGCAGCAGGTTGTGCAGCATGAGCGCGCGCGGCCCCCAGGGCCCCCGGCGGCACGCGCCCCCTCCCTGCGCCGGGGCCACTCACCAGGTCTGCACGAGGCAGTGCCCCCCGTTGCCCCCCGCGGGCAGCAGGTTGTGCAGCATGAGCGCGCGCGGCCCCCAGGGCCCCCGGCGGCACGCGCCCCCTCCCTGCGCCGGGGCCACTCACCAGGTCTGCACGAGGCAGTGCCCCCCGTTGCCCCCCGCGGGCAGCAGGTTGTGCAGCATGAGCGCGCGCGGCCCCCAGGGCCCCCGGCGGCACGCGCCCCCTCCCTGCGCCGGGGCCACTCACCAGGTCTGCACGAGGCAGTGCCCCCCGTTGCCCCCCGCGGGCAGCAGGTTGTGCAGCATGAGCGCGCGCGGCCCCCAGGGCCCCCGGCGGCACGCGCCCCCTCCCTGCGCCGGGGCCACTCACCAGGTCTGCACGAGGCAGTGCCCCCCGTTGCCCCCCGCGGGCAGCAGGTTGTGCAGCATGAGCGCGCGCGGCCCCCAGGGCCCCCGGCGGCACGCGCCCCCTCCCTGCGCCGGGGCCACTCACCAGGTCTGCACGAGGCAGTGCCCCCCGTTGCCCCCCGCGGGCAGCAGGTTGTGCAGCATGAGCGCGCGCGGCCCCCAGGGCCCCCGGCGGCACGCGCCCCCTCCCTGCGCCGGGGCCACTCACCAGGTCTGCACGAGGCAGTGCCCCCCGTTGCCCCCCGCGGGCAGCAGGTTGTGCAGCATGAGCGCGCGCGGCCCCCAGGGCCCCCGGCGGCACGCGCCCCCTCCCTGCGCCGGGGCCACTCACCAGGTCTGCACGAGGCAGTGCCCCCCGTTGCCCCCCGCGGGCAGCAGGTTGTGCAGCATGAGCGCGCGCGGCCCCCAGGGCCCCCGGCGGCACGCGCCCCCTCCCTGCGCCGGGGCCACTCACCAGGTCTGCACGAGGCAGTGCCCCCCGTTGCCCCCCGCGGGCAGCAGGTTGTGCAGCATGAGCGCGCGCGGCCCCCAGGGCCCCCGTCGACACTGGCCCGCCTCGGCGCGGCCGACGCCCGCCCACGCCGCGCCCGCCCCGCACTCCCGCCACCAACTGCCCGCCCACCAAACCACCAGCATGTATGCCGGGTATACCCTGCGAACAATAAACCATACTTTCAATTTACTTATGCTTTATTCTCGTTTTAAAAATGAAAATGAATTCAGAAAGAACCTCATTACTGTTGTACTTCTAAGCGGCCTGAAAAGTGTATGGAAAACCATTTTATCGCGCTGAGCGAGCAGAAAGCTTTATGGAAAATCATTGTTAAAATGCTATCTCTTTATTCTTTTTTTATTAATTTCTGTTCCAAAAAGTGTTCAGTATGATTTTGCAGACTGTAATAAACTTTTTACATTATACTGTTTACTTTCTGAAATATTTGGAAAAAAAAACAAAATGTAAAAAGCGCGCTGATTACTGAGTACTTAATTCGTTTTCCTATCTACTCGAAACTGCGTATAATACTGATAATGGAGATTTATTTCTCCATTATCAGCCAGAATCTCCGCCAGAATCAAAAGAAACTAATTAAGGCAATCACTGAGAACCTTACACGAGTAAAGGGTCTCAAGAAACCAATACAAAGCTCCCCTGTTAAAGTTTAGTAACTGTAACAACTTCGATATAAATTTCAATTAAAGAATTTGTCTTTTATTTCCTGGCAGGTATAGTATAAAGCACTTTGTATCCCTCGAAAGAAAATGCAGTTCCCAGCTTGGTTATATTAAGGCACTTAGCTGCGCCGCCGGTCTCAAACTACACCCTCGATGTTGAACGGTCACTTTCTTCTCTCGTTGAACAATGTACTATTTCAACTTTACCGCTAAATTTACAGTTCAAACCTAAAAGTAGAAGAGCTGAGCGAAACGACTGCTTTGAGTGTGATGCGGACCCAAATATAAACTTACAACGCTCCTAATGCGGCTTGCGTTGAATTCTTATTTAAGCTCATGGATAGAAAATAACGGCTCATCAATAGCTCATGGATAGACGGAAAGAGACGTGCTGGGCGAAGAAAAAAGTCATGGCTTCGGAATATCCGGGAGTGGACCGGTATTGCCTCCGTCGAACAGCTGTTCCGGCTGGCTGCTGATAGAAATACATACAGGAAGCTAACGGCCAACCTTCAGGACTGAAGAGGCACTGAAGAAGAAGAATAGAAAATAAGAAAAAAGTAGCAGAAACACGCCTGCCATCCGCCTGGCACTATACTGGTCACTCACCTGGCCAATCTGTGCAGTAGGCACAGCAGCAGCGACGGCTGCTTGAGTGGCGGCAGCAGCAGCAAGCGGCGCGCCAGCAGGAAGCTGGCCAGCATCAGGAACACGCACACCACCGGCGTGCCGTTGCGCACCGGCTGGAATAGCGGGTCGCGCATCATCTGCACACAACCATATTATTATGCTCTTGTAGCAGTGCAAAGAGACAAGCAGAATAAAGACTAAGGACGTGTTCAGAATATTTTGTTGGGGGCATTATCAGACTTGTATAGTAGACTTGAGGAGCTCGATGGCGCAAGTGGTTAGCGCGTTCGGCTGCGATCGTTGATGTTAAGCAACTTTCGCAGTGGTCGGTGATTGGATGTGTGACCATAAATTTACTATCTCGAGCTCCTCCGTGCTTCGGAAAGCACGTTAAGCCGTTGGTCCCGGCTGCATCTGCAGTCGTTAGCATCCACCAATCCGCACTGGGCCCGCGTTATTATGGTTATGGCCCAATCTCCCTATACCGTCCATAGGGAAGGCCTGTGCCCCAGCAGTGGGGACATTAATAGGCTGATGATGATGATTATCAGACTTATTAGCCGGTGATTAAGCGGGTTTTTGCGAATAAATCACGTAAAAATGTAAATGGACGCGAAGAATGTTTAATTATCTTTATATATATAATTCTTCTGTGAGTGTGTATGTCACTGAACTTCTCTTAAACGACTGGACCGATTTTGATGAAATTTTTTGTGTGTGTTCAAGGGGATCTGAGAATGGTTTAGATTCACAATTTTGTCCGCTGGACAACCCCTATTTTTTAGGGCGGTACGAAGTTCGCTGGGTCAGCTAGTTGTTTTATAAAATCTTAAAAACTTTTACACCGTGTTATAATTCATAGTATGGAGATCGCTAGAGTAACAGATATCAAAGAAATTGGTAAAATAAGAGGATCGTAAGTGTACGGTTTGCACACCTTTTTATGATAGAGTTGATAAAGTTAAAGTCCTGATATAAAAATAAATGATATATTCAACAAATTAATTATTATATAATCTTTGTAATATTGTAAACAATTTTGATTACTACCTATCTACTGATAGTGGTCTTGGTTTAGTGTGAATTTGTGAATTTCCTCTAGATTCTTGAGTATGACGTTACATTGAATTGTTTTGACGTTACCGCTGAGAATCCAGCCCAAGCGCGTATTTTGCGCTAGGGGTGTCTCGTCACTTATTTTGCATATACCATCTAATATAATCAATGAATAGATATCAGCACCGAGTAACAAGTCGACTGGTCGACTAGTATTGAATTCAGGATCTGCTAAAGTGAAGTTGTGTAAATATGACCAATTTGGCTTGTTAAATGATTGACTGGGTAGATTTTTTATTAAATTGTTCATGATAAGTACATTGGTTTCAAATTCGAATTCTTGATTGGTTGATAAACATTTAATCTGCATCATTGCTTTGCAGTTGTTTTCGCTTGCACCTATTCCTGTGATTACGCCTTGACATTTAAATCGGGGCAACCCTAACGACTGCGCTGCATTCTCTGTAATAACAGACGCTTGCGATCTCTGGCCTAATAAGACTCTTAACTCGATATAGGACTCATCGGCTGTCTGGACTTTTATTATTGCGCTTGCTAAAAGAATTTCCGGGATTTTTGGTTGTAATGACACATGTGAGTTGGTGCGAACGGTCGACGACGCCTCTGGTTGTGTGGCGTTTATATATTTCTTGGAGGTTGATGCTGTAGATGGCCCCTCCATCTGTGATTGCGTAAATGCGTCATGTAAAAGAGTATTATGATATTGATTGCATTCCCGGCATTTCTTGTCCGAAATGCAAGCCTTACATAATGGCAATAAAAGCAATTTTGGCATAAGTTATACTTAGTGATTGTTTTGCGTTTTAGCATCGAATTCGTGTCTTAAAATTGTTTACAGTGGAAAACGCCGTGGTCATCGCTTTATGTCATACGCTTATAGAGTTGATAAAGTTAATGACTTGATATAAAAATAAATGATATATTCAACAAATTAAACTTATAAGAATGATATGATAATTGATATGAGTATGCGCGGCGAGAATGAATACCGATGGCAGACTGATGTGAGCGTGACCTAAATTATTGAATGTGGCGTAAAGTGCTTACTAGACAAAACTGTACGAGTCGGCTCGTACAGTAAGAACATTACACATAACAATTTATTTACCTTTTCCAGATAAAGGGGGTTGTCGGAGTACAGCCTGAAGTATATGAGACCGCAGTGTATCCATATAACTAGCAGCATTAACACGGCTCTGGAACAAAAAATCATATCAAATAGTAGTCATTGAAGGTGCATGGAAATCTTAATTTAATTTATAATGAGATGTCTGTTTCAAAACAGACAGGGTATATAGAAAGAGCAAACCCTGGGTATTAATACATAAGTAGAATAATAAATATATCCAATGAAAGATGTATCTAATGACAGGGAAAATATGTCAGTCGAAGCTTGTCATTCGAATGATTTCAGTGAAGTTTCTGTTTCTAGGGTCTTATGCTGCTTGAAACTTTATATAAATTTAGTTTCAAAATAAAATTTCACCCCATGTCACCCCCCCAAAAATTTAGAAAGTATCGTGTTCCTCCAAAAGTTACTTAAAGGAGGAATAAATTCTTTACCACAACTCATGAAAGTCAGTCAATCATTCAGCAGCTCAGGCGTAAAAGAAATCAGGGAAAGTAACTTTTGAATTGAACGAAAAAATTAGATTTGAGGAGCTCGATGGCGCAAGTGGTTAGCGCGTTCGGCTGCGATCGTTGAACTTAAGCAACTTTCGCAGTGGTCGGTCATTGGATGGGTGACCAAAATTCTTCTATCTCGAGTTTCTCCGTGCTTCGGAAGGCACGTTATGCCGTTGGTCCCGGTTGCATCTGCAGTCGTTAGCACCCACCAATCCGCACTGGGCCCGCGTGGTGAGCCATGGCCCGATCTCCCTATTCCATCCATAGGGAAGGCCTGTGCTCCAGCAGTGGGGACATTAATAGGCTGAGTTTTTTTCGGACTAAGCCTTCAGTTACTATAGGGTACCTGAGGCCATGAATGGGCATCAAGGAAGCTCGCTCCGGGTCAGAATGGTCGTTGGAAGTCAGCCGTCGCCAGTTGTCCCTCCACGACCAGAACAACAGCAGCTGGCGCTCTGAAACACGCAATTAGTGCTTTTTTCAAATGACTTTTCACGGAAACCAGCCAGTACGAGTAGTAGGAGGTGGTGTCACTAAAGGGATTGTGTCACCGACAAGAGGGTGTTGCATTCGAGAGGGTGTCACTCAAGATATGATGTCATCCTTGAGCGTTATCACCAGAGGGATGAGGTCAATAGTCAGTGGTGTTAAAGCGTTGTTGGGTGTAGATAGGTAAAAGTTCGCTTGTACTTATCTGCGGTGCAGTCGGGAGGCGGTGTAAAACAATAAGTCCAGCACTCAACGATAAACAGTTTATTTGCACAAGCACAGAATAGAAGGAGTACAGAGCACAGTCAGTGATAAACAAGCACAGAGGAAGAAAGGAAAAGCACAGTGAAAGCAAACGTAAACAATAACAATAATACGGTTATGAGTTAGCAAGCGCGGAGCAATTGATCGTGCGTACGGTACAGAGTATAGGTTCCGACTGTCGTGCAGTGCAACGTGACCTCTGCGCGTGAGCCGGCCGGTTTGCCGAACAATAGGCGGTGGAGCGAGTGCGCGTGTCCATTCGCCATACGAGTTCCGTAGATCAACTGATGCACGGCACGATAGTGATATTGTTTGTGAATAAATGTATGTGCTTGTGATGATTGTGTATCAATGTAAATAATAAATATTGTTATATGTTAAATTTAAATAATGTGTAAATAATAAATGTTATTTTGTATAAATGTAAATATATTTGGTTTTAATATTTAATGTTTTATATTTATTTGTAGTTCTAAATTGTAAATACATATTATATAATATTTGCTATGTTTCTAAATACTTATATAATATGTATAAATGAGATTGTGGGAGAACCCCACATAACCCCCCCTCAGAGACCTGGTTAGGGTCGATAGTAATCTGGGAAACGGACGTGTCTCCCAGAGCGTGTGGTTTTTTGAGGCTGGGTTACAGTGGGTGTGTGTGTATTATGTGTATATGTATTAGTGGTGTTTGGAGGAGTGTCTGTGTGTGTGTCATGTATCAGGTCTTCCTCGTCTGTAAGCGTGAATGCTGGTTTTAAGCGGTCGATGCTCACGGTGACGGGATTACCTTTGACAAGAAGTTTGAACACCTTGTCGTTTCTTTCTAAAACCTTATGAGGTCCAGAGTAGGCAGGTTGGAAAGTCACGCGTGAAGCATCTTCTCGCAGAAAGACATAATCGGCAGCGGCTAATTCTTTAAAGACAAACACTTTGTGATTGCCATGGCGAGATGCTGGAACAGGCTTTAGTTTTTCGGCGTACGAACGTAACCGAGCCGTAAAATCTGACAAGTCAGATGTGCCAGGTGTGTTCGGATGGAAAAATTCGCCAGGAAGACGTAACGGCTCGCCGTATAGCAACTCCGCCGTAGAAGATTGTAAGTCCTCTTTGAAGGCGGTACGGATGCCAAGCAGTACCAGTGGTAACACCTCGATCCAATTTTGTTGGGCATGGCAGGTAATGGAGGCTTTCAACTGCCTGTGAAAGCGTTCCACGAGACCGTTACATGCCGGGTGGTAAGCGGTGGTGCGTTTATGGTGGAACCCTAGTGTTTTTGCGAGATATTGGAACAGCGCGGACTCGAATTGTGCGCCGCGATCTGTCACAATATCTATAGGACAACCAAAACGCGATATCCAGCCAGATATTAAAGCCTTAGCTACCGTTTCAGCTTTTATGTCCATCAATGGCATGACTTCAGGCCACCGAGTGAAGCGGTCAATAGCTGTCAGGCAATATTTGTACCCTTGACAGATGGGTAAGGGACCGATAAGGTCGATATGGACGTGCTTGAATCGCGCGCGAGGCAAGTCGAAAGTACCTAAAGGTGCAGATACGTGTCGACTCACCTTTGCACGCTGGCACGACGAACAAGTGCGAACCCACTCGCGACAGTCCTTTCTCACTCCGGGCCATATGAATCTGTCGGCAACGAGCCGTGCAGTGGCTGTGGCACCGGGGTGACTAAGTGAGTGGAGGCTTTGAAATACCTGTCTGCGTAATCCTTTGGTGATGAATGGCCTGGGAGTCGGTGTACTGATGTCACAGTACAGAGGAGTTCGACAACCAGGGTAATCCATCTTTTCGAGACGGAGAGAAGAAGGGTCTGACAGGTATTGGGCCAGTTCTGTATCAGATTCTTGGGCTTGGGCGAGGTTGGCGAGGGAAATCGGTGCGGCCAGTTCATCAACGCGAGATAAGGTGTCGGCAACGACGTTGTTTTTGCCGGAGATATGCCTTATGTCGGTTGTGAACTGGGATATGTAGTCCAGATGACGGAACTGCCTAGGCGAACAATTACGCTTCCGCTCATGGAAGGCATAACAAATCGGCTTATGGTCCGTGTACACTACGAAATGCCTTGCCTCAAGCATATGCCGGAAGTATTTGATGGACTCGTAGATCGCAAGAAGTTCACGATCGTACGGTGAATACTTTTGCTGTGCTGGATTAAGTTTCCGGGAGAAAAAGGCTAGGGGTTCCCATACGTCACCTTTTTGTTGCTGAAGGACGGCTCCTATAGCCAGGTCTGATGCGTCTGTAACCAATGCCAGCTGGGCTCGGCAATCTGGATGTGCCAAGAGAGCTGCATTGGAGAGGCTTTCTTTCGTATCTGAAAAAGCCTTCAGAGCATCGTCAGCTAGGGTGATGGGTGTGGAACCTTTTACTGCCCCCATGAGCAAGCTATTCAAAGGTCCTTGGATTTGAGCGGCGTTGGGCAAAAATCGCCTATAAAAATTGGCCATACCCAAAAACCGTCTGAGAGACCTGACGTCTTTTGGTGGGGGGAAGTCGCGGATGGCTTGTACCTTTTGGTCCAGTGGTTTGGTTCCGCTCTCCGAAATAAGATAACCTAAAAAGGTTACCTCGGGAGCCCCGAAAACACACTTGGACACGTTGACGACCATGCCATAGTCCCTGAGTCTGCTGAATACTTGTCTGAGGTGGTCTTCGTGGCTGGTGTGGTCTCTGCTAAAGATCAAAAAATCATCTAAATAGCAGTAGACAAAGTCCAGGCCTCGTGTCACCTCATCGACAAAACGTTGAAAAGTTTGGCCTGCATTTCGCAGACCAAACGTCATATAAGGAAATTCGAACATACCGAAGGGTGTGGTGATGGCGGTCTTCGGTATGTCCTCCTTGCAGACAGGTATCTGGTTGTACGCCTTTTCAAGGTCGATGGTGCTGAAGACCTTGCAACCAGAGATGTTATGGGCGAAGTCATGGATGTGGCGTATTGGGTACCTGTCTGGTATGGTTCGTGCGTTGAGCTGCCTGTAGTCGCCACAAGGACGCCAGCCGTTGTCTTTCTTCGGCGCCAGGTGCAGGGGAGAAGACCACGGACTTTCGGAAGGCCTAGCTGTGCCATTGGCTACCATGGCGTCGAACTCAGCCTTCGCTATCTTCAACTTGTCCGGCGCTAGACGTCTGGGTGCAGACGAAACTGGAGGACCTGGTGTGGTGCGGATGTGGTGCTGTGTATTGTGTGGTGTGGTGCGTTGTGTACCAGCTGGTCGCGTGATCTCTGAAAAATCGCGAGAAAGCAAAGCATGGTAACGCGATTCACCAGTGGGAACCTTTACTGAAAGCACATTATTTAAAGCTAAAGCCAGTGAAGCTGGTGTAGAAAGAGTAGTAGTACTATCTATAAGCTGCTTATTTCTACAGTCTACGATTAAGTTATAAAAGCACAAAAAGTCTACTCCTATAATGGGCTTAGTGACGTCAGCTACCACAAAACGCCAAGAATATGTACGGCGTAGACCCAGATCCAGGTTGAAGTGCGCGTAGCCGTAGGTGGAGATAGTAGTCCCGTTGGCTGCGGTGAGATGGTAGCTCGTTGGTGCACGTCGCTCTCGAAGTTGACAGCGGGGGAAAACACAGAGGTCGCTGCCTGTGTCGACCAGAAACTGTATCTTCGTGGTGCGGTCAGTGATGAAGAGGCGACCAGGAGAGGTGAGGCAATCGTCAGTCGCCATTACCGACTGCCTGCGGCGTTTCCCGACTTGTAGTCGCAAGGTCGTTGGCATTTCTTAGCTTTTGAGCCAAACTTTGCATGGTACCAGCAGATGGGGTAGCGCCGGTAACTGGACGCCGATCTTGACGATGAGTGAGAAGATGTTCGTCGCTGTTGAGGTCTGGATCGGTTGAAGTTGCGCGAAGATCGTGAATGCTCATCGAGTTTCATGGCGAGGTGCTCCACCATTTTCCGAAGCTCGCTAATTTCACCAGAAATGCTGTGGCCAGGTGGTATGCCGGAGGACGAAGTAGCTGCAACTTGCCCAGGTGCTGTTATTTCCTGGATGCGATCCGCTAAGTCTGCTAGCTGCTCCAGAGAATGCGTAGGTTGAGACGCTATTACAGTCTGGATGTTCTGTGGAAGACGGCTGGTCCAGATCGATCGTATGAACTCCTTCGGGACGTTAGGGCCCGCTAGGTCTTGCAGGTGTCGTAAAAACTGTGAAGCCTTGCGGTCTCCAATCTCCTCGTGAGTCAGCAACTGCCTGACCTTCTTCTCTTGGGAGGCAGTAAGGCGCTTGATCAGCTCGCTCTTGATTTTCTCGTAGCGGTTTCGAGATGGTGGGCTCACGATGATGTCCTTTACAGCCTTCGCATGGGTTATGTCGAGATTGGTGACGACGTTGTTAAATTTTATGGCGTCTTCTGTTATGCCATAGCTCTCAAATTGCCCTTCCAAAAGCGCGAACCATATTTCCGGATCATCCGGCGAAAATGCCGGAACCTTCAGGGTGTATGGCTTTAAATCGGATGACTCGTGACGTGTGCCCATGGAAACGCGCTTTTTCTTTTGGTGGCGGGTAGTGACGTTTTCCTTATGCGACTCAACGGTTTTGGCGGAATCACTGCTGTCGCTCATTATGATGTTCAACAGGGGTCACCAGTAAAGCGTTGTTGGGTGTAGATAGGTAAAAGTTCGCTTGTACTTATCTGCGGTGCAGTCGGGAGGCGGTGTAAAACAATAAGTCCAGCACTCAACGATAAACAGTTTATTTGCACAAGCACAGAATAGAAGGAGTACAGAGCACAGTCAGTGATAAACAAGCACAGAGGAAGAAAGGAAAAGCACAGTGAAAGCAAACGTAAACAATAACAATAATACGGTTATGAGTTAGCAAGCGCGGAGCAATTGATCGTGCGTACGGTACAGAGTATAGGTTCCGACTGTCGTGCAGTGCAACGTGACCTCTGCGCGTGAGCCGGCCGGTTTGCCGAACAATAGGCGGTGGAGCGAGTGCGCGTGTCCATTCGCCATACGAGTTCCGTAGATCAACTGATGCACGGCACGATAGTGATATTGTTTGTGAAAAAATGTATGTGCTTGTGATGATTGTGTATCAATGTAAATAATAAATATTGTTATATGTTAAATTTAAATAATGTGTAAATAATAAATGTTATTTTGTATAAATGTAAATATATTTGGTTTTAATATTTAATGTTTTATATTTATTTGTAGTTCTAAATTGTAAATACATATTATATAATATTTGCTATGTTTCTAAATACTTATATAATATGTATAAATGAGATTGTGGGAGAACCCCACATAACCCCCCCTAATCACGTCGGGGTCACCAGTAAAGCGTTGTTGGGTGTAGATAGGTAAAAGTTCGCTTGTACTTATCTGCGGTGCAGTCGGGAGGCGGTGTAAAACAATAAGTCCAGCACTCAACGATAAACAGTTTATTTGCACAAGCACAGAATAGAAGGAGTACAGAGCACAGTCAGTGATAAACAAGCACAGAGGAAGAAAGGAAAAGCACAGTGAAAGCAAACGTAAACAATAACAATAATACGGTTATGAGTTAGCAAGCGCGGAGCAATTGATCGTGCGTACGGTACAGAGTATAGGTTCCGACTGTCGTGCAGTGCAACGTGACCTCTGCGCGTGAGCCGGCCGGTTTGCCGAACAATAGGCGGTGGAGCGAGTGCGCGTGTCCATTCGCCATACGAGTTCCGTAGATCAACTGATGCACGGCACGATAGTGATATTGTTTGTGAATAAATGTATGTGCTTGTGATGATTGTGTATCAATGTAAATAATAAATATTGTTATATGTTAAATTTAAATAATGTGTAAATAATAAATGTTATTTTGTATAAATGTAAATATATTTGGTTTTAATATTTAATGTTTTATATTTATTTGTAGTTCTAAATTGTAAATACATATTATATAATATTTGCTATGTTTCTAAATACTTATATAATATGTATAAATGAGATTGTGGGAGAACCCCACAGTGTTACCAAAGGGGTCACGGAAAATATGGTATCACTGGCATGGGGGTGTCATCGAAGCTATGGTGTCTCCAGAAAAGGGTGTCACCGTAAAGGGAATGCCACTGAAGGGATGGCGACTGCAGTAAGGGCGTGTCCCCAGTAACGGGATGTTATTGGAAAGAAGGATAGTGTCACTGGTGAGCGGGTGTCAACGGAAAGGGCGAGTTACTGAAAAATGATATCTCTGGTGAGTAGTCGTCATTGATGAGATTGTCTCTTGTAAGGGAACTTCCCTTCCCGGTGGTGAGGAAATGGGAATACTGTAGAAAACTGTATCCAAAGCACGAACAACAAGCGACACTCAGTGAGGGGTGACACCGGTGAAAGTCTCACCGGTTAAGGTGTGTCGCTGGTGAGAGATAATCACCGAAAGCATGATGTCGCTAGTGAATGGGTGTCACTGGCGAAGGATGTTACTAAAACAATGGTGTCACCGGAGATGGGTTTCGGACGGGATTATGTTACCAGTGAGGAGGTTTCAATTAAATGATGGTGTCACTGAGGGATGGTGTCAACGGTGAGGGGGTGTCATTAAAAAGATGATGTCACCTGTAAAGGGGTGTCATCGAAGAGATGTCATTGGTAAAGGGTTCACCGGCGTGAGGGATGGTAATGGTAAAGGTGTTTCAATGTTAACGGCGAATCACTGGTGAGGAATAGTCACCGGTAACAGAGTATGATACATAGCAGGCTTTAAGACTTTCTCTTGGAAAAGAAATTTCTCCATTACTCCAGCTTAACAAGACTGGTGTCAACATAACTGTATCGTATTATTTTCTTGCAGAGACTCTTGTTTATGGAGAACACATTAATGATACAACTTTATTTTATACATTTGACACATTATTTAAACCAAATACATCTTTCTTTTTACCTTTTACAGGACATACTTACTCTTTTCATTAGGTGACATGAAATCGTAAGCAGTACCAATGATGTTGCAGAACAGTAAGCAGAATACCACAGTCAGGAACGCAATCTTGGACGCATCTAGCTCAATGCTTTTGTACGTTTGCGTACTGTTGTCGCAATACTCTATAGATATCGGAGTAGCGTGGAATTCCAGCGTGCTCGCCCACTGAGATATGCACTCTGTGAAGCGCTGTGTCTCGTTCAGGTCTCCACTTCCAAATAGGTTCGGACAGCGGGTGCTGACGCAGTAACCGCGGTGGATTAACGTACGATTAAAGTTCATCGGGTCTCTGGAAGACTCCTGTAATTATAGAAATAGTATTTATAATGTCAAGGTCGATTAAATGATAATCAGAACTTTTTCTTTCACGATACTAAGTAGTCCAGTACAGTAAACACTTGGGTCTTATGAGAGAACGTGGATTTTTTTATCGGGTAGAATTGAATCAACGTTTTGCAATAAGGGGGATTTAGGAACAAGTAAAGGGTAAATGCTGCCCATACGCTTATTTAGTTTCTTCTATGCAAAAAAGTAGTACACTTTTGTTTACACAGCCACGACGATGTGCATTTTCATGACTTCTTTGGAAGATTCCTCGCTGAAGAAGAAGGTAAAGGTGTTGAAAATACCCATCACACACACCCACACATTAACAGCCAAGGGCAAGTGGCTCATCTACCTATGTGATCGACATTAATGGCATGGTTAGTAAACTTTATTTAGTAATAACGCGTCGTAAGTTTGTCAATTAGGGGAATGGGAATTTAACAGCAACAGGCAGTTAAATTCGGTTTTTAACCGACTTCGAAAAAGGAGGAGGTTCTGTGTTAACTATATATTTTTTTTTTTCACCGATTTCTCCGTCAATTGTGGACCGATTTCCAAAATTCTTTATTTATTCGAAAGAGTGCACTTCCGAGGTGGTCCCATTGGAACCAAGTCAGGATCTGTTGGTGGAATCCGGGGAAATCGAGGGAAACCTTCAAATTTCAAAGGCACACACGATGTTTTTTTATGCATAAAATATCACCGATTTCTCCGTCAATTATGTAATTAATTTTTACTTGGACGATGTAATTCTCACTAAAATGGATGAAATAAAAAAAAATCAAACTAATATCCGACTACAAAATCGAAAATGGAACTAAAAATTAAAAATAATATCTGGTTCATGATTTGAAAGTCGGGCGGGGTCAAGATTGAAACATTAAATAGATTTTCGTTTCTGATCGGTAATGATACGTCTTTCAATCTTGACCTGCCCGACTTCTAAATCATGAACCAGATATTATTTTTTACTTTTTAGCTCTGTTTTCGATTTTGAAGTCGGTTATTTCCTAACCATCTGCTCAGCGGTGACGACGGGCAGCACTGGCGCGGTCACCATGCTTTACTAGAGCGTAGCTCTGACTGCGATTATAAACTCCTTTGATTGGGATTACATTGCTTATAACCTAGGCAGAGATGAGTGTGTGCGTTACATACTGTAAGTGTACACACACTACATGCTTACACTCGTTCAGCAGATCTAGTACCCGTTGGAACCTCAAGATTCGACCCAAAAGCACAAAGTTTGGACCTCTTTTTTGGTGTCCATTGGACCTTCTTAAAAAAAATATATTCAATGTGCCCATTGGACCTCTTTCTTGTGCCCATTGGACCTTCAAGATATATAAACTACTGCCAGTTGGACCTTATTGACAGTTTTGTTAAGCACAGTACAGTCATGTAGAAAATTGCAGACAAAAATAAAATTAATAGTAGGTATTATAAAGCCACTAACTGAATACTGTATAAGTGCTGACTCCTAACAGTAAGTAGCTCTAAAAAAAACTATAAAGAAATCAGACTACCTTTTTTCTTCGAATTAACGACATGTCGCCGTCCCCGGAGTATAAAAAGATAACTGCAAAATTGTAAGTTTTCAGGAAAAATAAAAAAACTGTTTTTTGTCTATTGCTCTTCAGCATGGTATATCCTTTCCGTAGATAAGAATTTCATCATCGTGGCACTTCAATCATAGCGTAGATCAGCTGGTTTGGCTTAGCAGGCGTCAGGCGGAAGGCCCCGACCCGGAGCAACCAGAAACTGCTCGTTGTCACTTAGGTGGTATGGTAGATAATGTAAGTAGACAAACATTTAATCGCGCGAGTCATACCTCCATCAGAGCGTAGACCGGATGGTTCGGCTTTGAGGGCGTCAAGTGGAAGCTGCCCATGCAGTACAGCTGGTCCTCGCCCGGAGACGCCAGGCATCGCTCGTAGTCATCCAGGTGGTACAACCGCGGCAAGAATGCGTCTTCCTCTTCTGATAAGAATGAATAAATAAATATAAATGAACCATTTCTAATCTAACACTCACGCAAATTGACGATCCGTGGCCGAGTGGTATGCACGCCGGGTTTAATGGTGTCGCCGAATCGTCCCACGTTCGAATCCCGGTGGGGCTAAATGCAATCTATCTATATATGTAAAACTCAAAGGTGACTGACTGACATAGTGATCTATCAACGCACAGCCCAAACCACTGGACGGATCGGGCTGAAATTTGGCATGCAAGTAGATGTTATGACGTAGGCATCCGCTAAGAAAGGATTTTGATCAATTCTACCCCCAAGGGGATAAAATAGGGAATGAAAGTTGGTATGAAACTTTGTCAATTTCAAACCGATCGGGCTGAGACTTTGCATGCAGGTATAAGAAGAATCATAGATGAATGTCATTGTGTATGATACAAGCCTGAAAACAAAAACTGTAGTCTACACTTCAGCTCTTCACCGAAGCGAAGCGAGGGCGGGCCGCTAGTTATGATGTATACGAGCATTTGTACGTTAGTCGTTTATGTTTATATGTATTTCCATATAAAAAATACTTGTATATGCATGCAATATGTGTATTCTATCCGTTACCCTAGCATCCCGTAACACAAGCCTTACAGTGCTTACTTTAGGGCTAGGCTAATTGATGTGAGCGTGGGAAATATGCCTAGCCCCAAAATAAGTTGTAATAAGGTTTGTGTTATAGGATGCTAGGGTAACGGGGAAAAACATATACTTACTGATACTTATATAAGTATATTTATTTAGAAATATTTATATTTATAACTTAAGTACCTATAATTACTCGCAGTGCCGTCTTTGACCTATTGGAGGCTCTGGGCATATTAGGATAATGGGCCCCCTATGACCCCCGTTTGGTGATCTAACAGGAACTAGGGACTTTGTATATGATCTGAGGTGGGCCCCTATCGATCGCGGGGCCCTGGGCACTTGCCCAAAGTGCCCACTGGGAAAGAGGGGTCTGATTACTCGTATTCATCACACTAACATTTGCTCCACCAGGATTTCAACCCGGGAGACCTCTGAGTAGGCGACACATTGATACCCGGCGTACATTATCCCGGATAGCGGATTGTTGGGCGCTAACAACCTTACGAAGTACGAAAGGAATTATATTGACATAATAAATTTTTGGTTACCCATCTTATTACCAGCCATTGCAAAAGTTGCTTATATTCAACGATCACATACCCACAATGAACATTATTGTTCTGACCCCGAATCTGAAGCCGCATTGTGCTTGTGTAGTTTAGTAGAATGCTGACAGAAAATTACACAAGTACGAAATGTAATGTAATCTTCTATATATATAAAACTCAAAGGTGACTGACTAACATAGTGATCTATCAACGCACAGCCCAAACCACTGGACGGATCGGGCTGAAATTTGGCATGCAGGTAGATGTTATGACGTAGGCATCCGCTAAGAAAGGATTTTAATAAATTCTACCCCCAAGGGGATAAAATAGGGAATGAAAGTTTGTATGAAACTTTGTCAATTTCAAACCGATCGGGCTGAGACTTTGCATGCAGGTATAAGAAGAATCATAGATGAATGTCATTGTGTATAATACAAGCCTGAGAACAAAAACTGTAGTCTACACTTCAGCTATACACCGAAGCGAAGCGAGGGCGGGCCGCTAGTAATTTTTATAATTCTTCATTAAGTAGTACTCGTCAGTGTCAGTGAGTACTCGTCAGTTTGTTTCGATGGAGCTGATTGAGCGTATTAATAATATTATTCACAATTTTGGTTAAAAACATAGAAAACAATTTTATTTACAGAAAAGAACAAGAGTGCTACATTATTTTCTTCACCCAATATTATCTAACTAAACCTGTCGTAGATACGTAACATAGCAGATGGAGTAATTTCCATATAATATTATTTACGTTCGTATAATTACTTGTGGTCAACATTTTCCACTTGAAAACATAATACACTTACAAAGTGAAAATAGTGACAATTTGTATTGATTACGTCTTTTAAAGAATGATAATAATAATAATATTCTTTATTGTATAACACCACAATGGACATAACAGTAAGATTACACTGACAGAGAGACATTACACAATGGGCGGCCTTATTGCTTAATAGCAATCTCTTCCAGGCAACCCATGACGGAAAATTAAATAAGTATAAAGAACAAAAAAGCGGAGGGAAGGGTGTAAGAGCAATATTATAAAATAAAATAAAAACGGTAATAATAATATAGATGCATATTTATATAAAAAAAATAAAAAAATAAACATATAAATAAAGGAAAGAGGTATTTTCAAAGTAAAGTTATGTTTCATTTCTTGTACCTATTGCAGGTTATCATCAGCCTATTAATATCCCCACTGCTGGGGCACAGGCCTTCCCTATGGATGAAATAGGGAGATTGGGCTATGACCCACCACGCGGGGCCAGTGTTTATTGGCGCGTGCTAACGACTGCAGATGCAGCCGGGACCAACGGCTTAACGTGCCTTCTGAAGCACGAAGAAACTCGAGATATAAGATTTTCGGTCACCCATCCAATGACCGACCACTGCGAAAGTTGCTTAACTTCAACGATCGCAGCCGAACGCGCTAAACACCCGCACCATCGAGATTCTCTTCTTTCCTTCTCCTCCTATTGCAAATAAATGGTAAAAATATTAAGTTACTAGCGTGCGCCAGTGGCTTCGTCTTTGTGTTATAAATCATTTCCTATACGAAATTCCATCCCCCATTTTATGGTTTACTAGCGTTCCGCCCTCGCTTCACTTTGGTGTAGGGCTGAAGTGTAGACTACAGTTTTTGTTCTCAAGCTTGTATTATATACAATGACATTCATCTATGATTCTTCTTATACCTGCATGCAAAGTTTCAGCCCGATCGGTTTAAAATTGACAAAGTTTCATACAAACATTCTTCATTCCCTATTTTATCCCCTTGGGGGTAGAATTGATCAAAATCCTTTCTTAGCGGATGCCTACGTCATAACATCTACCTGCATGCTAAATTTCAGCCCGATCCGTCCAGTGGTTTGGGCTGTGCGTTGATAGATCACTATATTAGTCAGTCACCTTTGAGTTTTATATATATATAGATTTTCACGTTGAAGAGTTAGCCTTTAACCATCTCCAGCATACCGTTTATGTCTTTACCAGAATTTAACACCATGGATTCAGGGGTTTAGAAGTGAAAGTTTATTAAACAAAAAACCGGCCTAGTGCGATTCGGAATCGCGCCGAGGGTCCCGTACAAACCTGCGGGTATATTTATAGTTTTCGTAATTTTTCTTTGATTTTGTGCTTCGTACCAAATTCCAAGATTCTGATTTCACGGGAATTAACGAATGGAAGTACCCTGTATGTACGGGATGTGTGTACGTATAAGAAAACGTTTCGAGGTAGTTTTCGTTACGCAGCGACTAAATGTTGGAATAACATTCCTCCTCCAATAAGGAACTCCAAAACGGTTTGCACTTTTAAAGTTAAATACAGGAAATATTTATTAAATGTGCAAAAGTTGTAACGAGGGTCGCTAGAACGCCATGGTTGATTTTGAGCACCATTTCATACGCTGTAAATTTTAATTTAATTTAATATTTTTTTTTGGCTTTCATTTTGTTTCACAATATTTATCCAATTGATTTTAGTAATTTGACATATGTATTTAAATCTTTTATTCTTAATATTTTTTTAAATGATATTTATGACCTTAAATGTAATTTAATATAAGTAGGCTGCTGCTGAAAATCAGTGTCGTGGCACAAGAAGTTATTTTTGTAATTTGTGCCAAATTTTATTGCGTTTTTATTATTATTATTAAATGAAAATTGATTTTACAGATATACCGTTTATGGACACACGAAAGTTATTTGACTAATGAAATAATGTATGGTGTTTATGAGTCGCGGATGAAACGTAGACTGATGCGTCGCGTTCTAGATTCGACACACCAAAGTAAAAATGCAATGCTGCAAAATATAAAATGTGAAATAACTATATTGTGCGGTTTATTGAACCGTACACTGTAGGTTTTGATTCCCTTGCGACTTTCGAAATTTGCGGAAATTTGCAACATAAACAGCTGTATGTTTTGATTGCGTTGGCTTAGAAGTTTCATTATTTCACAGATCCAAGGGACAGTAGACCTGAGTATGTGTATGTTCAGTTTAATACCGTCACGCGTTCCTGAGAAAAAGGGTCTTGACGGACGGACAGACGGACAACAAAGTAATCCTACAAGGGTTCCGTTTTTTCCTTTCGAGGTACGGAACCTTAAAACTCAAAGGTGATTGACTGACTGACATAGTGATCTATCAACGCACAGCCCAAACTACTGGACGGATCGGCCCGAAATTTGGCATGCAGGTAGATGTTATGACGTAGGCATCCGCTAAGAAAGGATTTTGATCAATTCTACCCCCAAGGGGATAAAAAAGGGAATGAAAGTTTGGGCCTACACTTCAGCTCTACACCGAAGCGAAGCGAGGGCGGGCCGCTAGGTGATTTTTTTTTTCCAACACACACCAATTAGCCTAGCCCCAAAGTAAGCACTGTAAGGCTTGTATTATGGGATACTAGGGTAACGGATAAAATATATATACAGTACATATATAAGTATATTTAAATAGAAATACATAATTAAACATCCATGACTGGAGTACAAATGCTCGTATTTATCACACAAAACATCTGTCCCCACCGGGATTCGAACCCGGGACCTCTCGAGTCGGCGACACCATGAAACCCGGCGTACAAATCACTCGACCACGGAGGTCGTCTATCGATTCGGTCGATTATAATAATAGTAAGGAGTAGAACTTTGAGTTTGAGATTATAAATATTAGTAATTCGACTTAAGTCGTTCTTCATGTTAATGAATAATATTTATTTAACACCTATTTTTTTTAGTTAGTATTATTGATTGATATCTGTCATGTTCATCTATTATTTGCACACCATTTGCATATAGTAGATATAGTTCGGGTCAGTTTTATTATGCAATGCAATATATATATATATATATATTACTATATTTACTACTATATTTTGAGAGGTATATATATATTATATAGTAGACTACAAACATAAAAAAAATATAGTATGTGGTTAAAATCTTTAGTTATTATTTGAAATTTGTATATTTTTGGTACTCTATGCCTTAATAAATATTTTTTTATTTTTTAAGTAAGATTTTACTGTCAAATTTCTGCTTTAAGCAAAATATAGTAGTTTAGCCTACTATATTATAATATAACTGTGGGTTACCTACAATGCGAAGAGATGTCGCTGCCTTGCAGCTTAAGAATGGCTAGAAGAATTTCAAAGCGGCAATCGGGGCTGCGGTAGCATAATAGGTCAGTGCATTCGCCCGGATAGCGAAGGGTGCGGGTTCGAGTCCCGTCTGCTGCCTGGTCCGCGTGGAATTTTTTCTAGTTATATTTTCTTTAGATTTAAACATGAAGCAGTTAAATGTTTAAAAAATAAAAACTATAACTACTATATTTTTTTGAAATATAGTATTTGATCCCCTAATGTAGTAGGATACTATATTATGTAGTAGAGTTGATAACCTTTTTTTTTGCCCAGGGAAATGCTTTGCGCATATCCTGCTACTGGGTGGGCAACAGGGTTATGTGGGACTCTCCATACTGTGGGATCCTTATTGGGAAGCAACCACAAAAATGCTCGTATTCAACACACAACCATTTGCCCCCACCGGGATTTGAACCTGGGACCTCTCGAGTCGGCGACACAATAGGGCAAGCGTAGGTAAGTGGTTAATATAAGGGTCACCGCACCATATGGACCTCATAATACTAGAAGCATCATTCAGAAGTAGCCGACCCTAAATACATATTACATTTTTATTTTTAGTTTTGGTTTTGGTTTGGTTTTGCTTAGAGACTGTTAGCACTGAGAGCTGTATTAGAGAATTTTTAGGGGATATGTATATCAATCACGTCGATAAAATGGTAGAATAAAATTTTGTAACATAGTTTTTTAGGGTACCTCCCCAACATGTAAAAAGGGTATAATGGATGTATGCTGGTTTTTTTATCATCTACCCCATTGTGTGGTATATCGTTGTAAAGTTCCTTTAAAATTATTTAATTCAGAAGGTTTGGTTTGATGCGATAACAAACATACAGAAAAACGACTGTCAAAACGAATAAAAGAGCAAAAAAATAAGGAATTGTGTTTATTCTACTTATTCTAAGACCGCAAACTATATAGTTTTTGCAAATCTCATCATCATCATCAACAGCCTATTAATATCCCCACTGCTGGGGCACAGCCCTTCCCTATGGATGGAATAGGGAGATTTGGCCATGACCCACCACGCGGGGTCAGTGCGGATTGGTGGGTGCTAACGACTGCAGATGCAGCCGGGACCAACGGCTTAACGTACCTTCTGAAGTACGGAAGAGCTCGAGATAGTAATTTTTGATCACCCATCCAATGACCGACCACTGCGAAAGTTGCTTAACTTCAACGATCGCAGCCGAACGCGCTAACCACTTGCGCCATCGAGCTCCTCATATATTCTATCTATATATTTGCAAATCTTCGTCGATATTACAGAACGGTTTACGTTCAACGTACATATGGCTTTTTGGGGACTCATCTTTATAATAAAATCAGTAGATGCATTGCCATAGTACATCTCAATAAAAATAGCATTAAAAAAGAGGTCACAAATTTATTGCTCAAATTCAACTATGAACAAACTGAGGATTTACTTGCCACGGTCCTATAATAATAAGTATAAAGATACACCCTCATATATATACGATAAAATACACGCACATTTTTAGGTACACACTTACAAACACATAGATACACTCACACCCACACACACCCACACACACACACACACACACACACACACACACACACACACACACACACACACACAGATACATATAAAAATTTAATATCTTTAAGTAAATAAACGTTTTGTAATTTTGAATAAAGTTGATTTCGTATTTTTTTGTTTATTGTTTGTATTGGCTTTTTTTTCTGTATCTGAAAATAGGGGAAGGGCGTTTGGCTGAAGATGTCATTTAATATTTAATGTAAAATTAGCCTTAGTGTAAATAGTCTTATAAGAATATTACCATGTAAGAACGTGTAATTTATTGCAAATAAACATTATTATTATTATTATTATTATTATATTATCTTATTATATGTATAACGCGGTCGCCCGCAACTTAGATTTTTTGAAACCCCCTTTAGTAACCTGACACTTGAAGTTAATGTTTACTTAAAACATTAGATTCGAGATTGCAATTAAATACTCATATTAATGCCCTATCTAGTAGACTAAGCTCAGAAGCATACGCTGTAACAAAGTAAGGCTTATGGCCGATGTTAAAACACCAAGGCTTATCTTATACTTTAATTATTTTCATATAAATTGAAATGAAAAGTCATTTATTCAGTCTAGGCTGTTACAAGCACTTGTGAAGGTCAAGAAGCTACGTCATCGGTTCGCAAAACTACGGCGGGAGACCTTGTACTGAGAAGAACCGGCAAGAAACTCAGCAAGGGCTGTTTTTTTCTCCCTGTATTGTTATATACAGAGTCGTCAAGTTGAAAAATGACTTCAGAGATACGTCTGAAGTCACCTTCCATTACATCATTTAGAATATAAATATATAGTAGTTAACATTATATTTAGTATTTAGGAAGCGGCATTAGATAGGTACAATATTCATGTTATGAAAAATTACTAATACCCATTATATAACAAATTATAAGAAACACTATGGCCATAGTATTATGTATTACTGTCTCTTGTTGTGGGGATCAACAGCTGATATTTCTGCTGAGAAGCTGAGAAGACAGCTAAAAGATGTTCTGAGCAGGAGGTAGGGGGGAAAATATAAGGGCGATTCAAAAGAACTTTCTAGTAAGGCCTTTAAAAATAAATCTAATTAAAGAATAAATTTATAGATTTTTTTTTAGATTTAAACATCTAGTCAGTCAGTCACTATTCAGTATAAAGGTCAGTTCCATCCTTAAAGAAAATCATAATATAACATAAATTAATTAATTAAAATAAAAAATAAATATTTTAAAAAAACGAGCGAGCCTTACAGTAGTCGCGTATGATGTGTAACATTTGAAACCTCACCTTATATTAGTAAAAAAAGAAATAAAACATACTACAAAAGGAATAAGCCATTTGAATATTGTGTTCTAAAATCAAATCAAATAGTGCGCGCTTTCGCGACTTCCTGTTACACACTTCCGTCCAATTTCACAAAGTCACTCCCACAAATTGCGGGAAAGCGAAAGGAAAGATGTTACACATCAAAAAGTAGGAAAATAGAAACTAGAAGTATGGGAAAGGAAGTACGGGACCCCCATACAACAGACGTGATTTTTGCAGGGCACGGAGCAAAATGCATTTATAATATAATATAATAGCGAAGGGTGCGGGTTCGAGTCCCGTCTGCTGCCTGGTCCGCGTGGAATTTTGTCTAGTAATATTGTCTTTAGATTTAAAATGCATGCAATGCATTATTTCCGTTATTACACCGGTTGGTTGACAAAATAATTTAGATAGATCATTAATCCTACTATTCCTACTAATATATACATATATATATATATATATATATATGTATAACTCAAAGGTGACTGACTGACATAGTGATCTATCAACGCACAGCCCAAACCACTGGACGGATCGGGCTGAACTTTGGCATGCAGGTAGATGTTTTGACGAAGGCATCCGCTAAGAAAAGATTTTGATCAATTCTACCCCCAAGGGTATAAAATAGGGAATGAAACTTTGTATGAAACTTTGTCCATTTTAAACCGATCGGGCTGAGACTTTGTATGCAGGTATAAGAAGAATCATAGATGAATGTCATTGTGTATAATACAAGCCTGAGAACAAAAACTGTAGTCTACACTTCAGCTCTACTCGGAAGCGAAGCGAGGGCGGGCCGCTTGTTATAAATATAAAAGATTTTATTTTTGTATGTTTGTTACTTAATCACGTAAAAAGCACAGAATGGATTTGGACCAAATTTGTTACGTTTACAGTTTATGACTAAGGATTGAGACATAGGTTCCTTTTAATCCCAGAAAATTTTAAGGTTCCTGTGAGATGCACAAAAACTAGCGCTAGTGCGGCGGCCGCTAGTGCATATATAATAGAAAAAAGTAAAGAAAATTACAAAATCGATTTACCCGTCAACAGCTTTCCCAGTATTACTTGCACATTGACAGCAACGAACAATAAACACAACACAGATTGCATGTTTCCGACCGACTAACCTAAGGCTTTATCTACTGTATACAAACGTTGAAAAATCTGTTCCAACCAAATTGTACAGAAAGTTAAACAATATTGATAACCGTCCTATTGGTTATCTTTCTTAAAACGATAAAATTTACGTCTTTTATTTCCGCACACGCGTCAGCTGTGAAGTATATTTTCAGTGAAACTCTTCAGAACGTAAACAGCAATATGATAAAATGTTTCTCTTAATTATTTACTCGTATTGTTCATAAAATGGTATGTTCATTTTAACACATGTACACGATGTTAATTATTACTGAAGAAAATACTCATGCGGTTAATATATAATGTAATATTACTTGTATTACAAAATATGAACACATAATGACTATATGCAGTCATAAGAGAGATGACAGCGGATCGCGCGCGAAATATGCACTGCCCGCGGACATCACACGACCTATTTATAAACTGTGAATTCTCACCGTGAATCATGTTAAACCAACTGAATGGGACAACTCAAATAAAACTATTAAATATATTGGTGTTAAGTCACCATCATATTGCTCTTTTCTAGGCACATCAAACATATCTAATATATAAAATTCGCGTGTCACTGTGTGCGTAATTGAACTACTCCGAAACGACTCGACCGATTTTCGTAAAATTTTATATGTATACTAGCGGCCCGCCCTCGCTTCGCTTTGGTGTAGTGTCGACTACAGTTTACACAATTACATTCATCTACGATTCTTCTTATACCTGCATGCAAAGTCTCAGCCTAATCGGTTTAAAATTGACAAACTTTCATTCCCTATTTTATCCCCTTGGGGGTAGAATTGATCAAAATCCTTTCTTAGCGGATGCCTACGTTATAACTTCTACCTGCATGCCAAATTTCAGCCCGATCCGTCCAGTGGTTTGGGCTGTGCGTTGATAGATCACTATGTCAGTCAATCACCTTTGAGTTTTACATATATAGATGATACATCATACAAAAATACATACAACCCTAAATTTTCACCCTTCTACCACCAACCCCTATTTTTTATGGCGGTACGCAGTTCGCTGGGACAGCCAGTAGTACAATATAATAGAGCTTCCTGTACCGTGGGAAACTCACATTGTAAAAGACCACACAATAAAATTGAATAAATACTACAACGTAATAACTAAAAAAAAACAGTAGAAGTACGAGCGAGAGTTATACTCGCAAAATCTCTCTATAACACTCTAAAAGACTTCGGCTGGTCGTGAACCAGGCGCGGTCCGAAGGGGGGGGTCACAGGGGACATGACCCCCCCCAAAATCTAAGGTCAAATTGAAAAATCTCAAAAATTCGCCAAATAATAAAAAGAAATTTCTAGCTATCTTAGAATCTTAAAATTTGGTACAAAGTAACGTCTTATCGTACAGTTAAAGGAAAAATTGCGAAAACCGCAAATTTTCAGTTACATCATTTAATAAAAAATGATTTTGAAAAATCAGGAACCCTCGATGCACGAGTTCGACTCGCACTTGGCCGATTTTTTTATTAGTGTAGTGAGTGACCCCCTCCAAAATTTCAGGCTGCGACCGCGCCTGTCGTGAACTGCAGTGATATCATGAAACGATTAACTAAGGTTGCACTAACGTAAGCGTCGGTCGTAAAGTATTTTTCTCTTTTCACACATTAAAATCTTTTCCATACTATTTACCGATTGAAACCAGAATTGCTTTGGCCCAGTCACTGATTCTCCCCAGTCTGGACTACGCAGACGCCTGTTATCTGGACATCACAGAGGAACTTTTGACTAAGCTCGAACGACTACAAAATTTGATCATACGTTTAATTTTTGGACTGCGTAAATGTGACCATGATTCCAAATTGAGATCACAACTCCTATACGTCTTCGTAGGAATTCCCGTATCCTTTTTCTGTTATTTAACATTTTGCATAACCCAGCGTATCTTCATGCCCGTTTCCAGTTTTTCGGCCTCCGGGCTTGCTCTGCATATCTATCTGCACAAGTTCGGACTCTGCTTAAAGTACCATTCAACCATTGCCGTATCGACTTTTACAGCGGCTCCTTCACTGTTTATTCAGTGAAGTTGTGAAATGCCCTGCCGTCAGAAATAAGAGACATCACAATACTTCCGCTTTTTAAAAAATGCGTCAAGGAATATTACCTGTTCTTGACATAATATTTCTTTCAGTTGATTTTTTTGAAGTGAAAACTTCTTTAGCGGCGTTGTACACTTTTTTTTGTATGTGTAAAAAATTGTAAACTCACGTCAGGTTAAACACGTGGGCTGATCGCATCATGACACACAATTATATTGGAAAGGTTGTTGACTTCCAATATATTAGACGAAACAAAGTAATATTTAATTTTACCGTATTATAATAAGTAGAGACTTACTGCCACGTGGACGTACTAGATAGAGATCTAGTACGTCCACGTGGCAGCTTTATTGCGAAGAAAATGCATTTTTTTACAATGTTACGTTTACAGTTTATGACTAAGGATTGAGACATAGGTTCCTTTTAATCCCAGAAAATTTTAAGGTTCCTGTGAGATGCACAAAAACTCACAGCCGCTATGTCGCTAGGTGCGCTTTAATGTGATTCATGTAAGTTGATTTCTTTACAATAGATGTCGCTAAGTGCGCTTAAATGTGATTCATGTGAGTTGATTTTTCTAAGAGGATAAACTTTTTTAATGTAATATAAATTGTCATATATGTGTACGTTGACATGCATTTTTTGTTTTTTTTTTTATTAATATGTTTTAGTGTAGGTACACGCGACAGGTATGTCTCCCAGCATAGCTCCAATCCCACACCTTTTGTACGTTATTATTTAACTTGTGTATTTTTTTTCGTGTACAATAAATTATTAAATAAATAAATACGTAAAAATATTTTCGATTAAGATAAATCAGTAGTACAAGCACCAAACACCCCACCTCAACGCTCTCAAGCAACTTTTGGATATTCCAACTGTCTGTAGTTCTAATAAAGATGATTTCCCGTGATTTTTAAAATACTTTCTGCACGAAATAAGCCTTAAGGGTGGAGATATAAATTATTTCAACATTTATAGGGTAGCGAAAACTTTCGCCGACGACCGGGGGGTAGGCGGCGGCAGGACGACCGCCTCTTTCCACCCTAGTGGGACTGCGGGCGGCGGACAGGGTGGTCCGTCCCCCTCACCCGTCGAGGGGGGATACCTAGAGTCCCACATAACCCCGCCACTCACCCGGGGCGGGGTATGCGTAACGCATTTTCCCAACAATAAAAAAAAAAAGGGTAGCGAAAACTTATAGAAATATTTTCTTTAAAAATTCTCGCATGTAGGTACCACCAACCTCCTATTTAATGTCAGTACGAAGTTCGCTAGCAAATAAATAAACTTTAGACATCACGCAACAATTATCTACTATATAAAAATAAGTCGGGTTTTCCTTCCTGACGCTATAACTCCAGAACGCACGAACCGATTTCCACGGTTTTGCATTCGTTGGAAAGGTCTCGGGCTCCGTAAGGTTTATAGGAAAGAAAATTCAGGAAAAATTTAAAAAAAAAAATCTTCTTTTAATCACTAAACGAAATGTTACATAAAACGAAGCCATCTGATGGCGAAACGGAGTTCGCCTGGTTTGCTAGTATATTATATTTTTATTTTAAGCATTCAAATTCTTTATATACAAAATTTTCTTAAGATTAACAATTATTTAGTTCGAAACTAAGTAACGCTATGAATATGTAATAGTTACGTACGTGATCAGTACACAACAATGACTGGAAACAAATATTTGTGTTTATCATCCAAAAGATTACCTCGACCGGGTTCGAACCCAGGACATTTGGTGCAGAAGACAGGAGCGCTGCCATTGCACCAAACAATCCTCAAATGTATAATTATATTCGTCCAATCACAGTGTCTTAGGCTGCGTTGTTTAATGTCAATATCAGTAAGTGTCACGTCAAATAGGTAAATGATGTCCCCCTCAGGTTCGAGTGGTCTAGAGGCTCCAGACGGAGAGGAGACTCCCCCCGTGGGGAGATGCCATCCGCCTGGAATACCTCTAGAGGCATTCGCCAATTCTAGGCTTGAGGTCCCCTAGGATCTCGCCGTCCCCAAACCCGGTGACACTGTAAAGGTCACCTGTGACCAACAGCATACACACTCAATATATATAAAAGGTACATAGTAGAATGTGTACAATTTAAAAAAAATATATTTATATATTTTGACTATGTTTAAATCTAAAGAAAATTTTACCAGAAAAAAATCCACGCGGGCCAGGCAGCAGATAGGACTCGAACCCGCACCCTTCGCTATCCGGGCGAATGCACTGACCATTATGCTACCGCGGCCTTGACTGCCGTGTCGAATTTTCTCTAGGCTTAAGCTGATATGCAGCGCCATCTCTTCGCATTGTAGGCAAATGAATACCTTTACAAGTATTAAACATTTGAAAGAAGAAATAGCAATTACAGTTTTTGAAGTTATACTTCTTTAGCCGCGTTATGAAAAAATGATGAGAGTGAAATTTTAAGATGCGCGCGCAACACTGTAATAGAAAAAAATAATATTAAAATCGCTAAAGCGACCAACTTCATGCTGTTACTTTTGTGTTTACCGCACATTAAGAAAATCTACCAACAAAATAGAAATGGAATCTCTATTTTGTGGGTGCTAACGACTGCATTGTGAAGGCCTATCAAATCATATCACCATGAAGTCGGCCGCTAAACCGCACATTACTCGTAAGTCTCGAAAAAAAGCTTCCAACAAAATAGTAATAGGATCTCTTAGTCGCACATGTTGGGTCGCTCGTCGCCTCTGATCACTGTTTTCATATTTATAATATTTATCCACATGTTTCTAGTTTCTATATTCTTAACACGTGTTATAATGTTATACAAATGCGAAATTTATATGTGCTACTAAATTTTATTCAGTACTGATTTAAATTGAATATTTTGATTATTTATTAAATTTTTCAAATTAAAACTGAACTTTATTGACTGCGTTGACTATCCTTTTCCAATCCTTTTATTATCTTATTGTAATTAATTATCTGCATGCAATTAAAAACTATTTTTGAATAATTCCAAAAAGAAGTATAACTTCTCACGCGCGTACTTAAGTACACGCACCCATATTTTTTTTTAATTTTATAAGCTAATTTTAGTCACATGCTACTATGAATCAAACAACGCGGCCTTCATGGTTCAAACGAGCATTAAAAATTAACTGCGTCTGAGCAAACATTAGTACATTTATGCCAAGACTTTTGACTTAGGTAATACCAATATAAGTATTAATTGCCAAGGCTGGCGAGCAAACGTTCGAGCTCTATAATATTTAAGCATGCGGCTTTAATTATAAAGCGTAGAATAAATAGATTTCCCATTCATACCTCGATCTCCTATTACACTCCTTTAAGTTTTATTTTACGCTACAAAAATAGGGATGATGACAATTTTTTTTCTTCATTTATCAGGTAGATAATCAAAAAGTACTGGACACGTATTTTTTCTTTTTTCACATAATATAAACATTGCAGAGATATATTGA